GGCTGCGAGGAGGCTGTACAGGAAGTCATAGCCGCTGGCATCTAGAGTCAGTGTAAGCGTGATCATTTATGGCTGGTAGTGTCGCATACATTGGCCGCCCTCGAGGTAGGCTTTGGCATGGTTGGTGAGCTCGTAAGACGCTTGCTTGGTAGGCCGGCGTTGCTTGTGCCGTGGTCGTGCGCTCACAGCTTCGAGTGCAGCAGATCGCGCATGTCCGTTGGTATGTGCGGAAGGGTTCGAAGTCTTGGAGCCAGAAGCTGGTGTTGCGAGTTTCGCCATGAACGCGATAGTTGTGCTGAGGTGCTAGTGTGGGGGAGTTGCTGCAAGGTCAGACGCGCCCGCGTCGAAGCGCGCTTTCACGTGGCAGGCGATGGCATCACTACTTGGCCTCAGCGTCCGTCTTACAATGGATGTGAACATGCAAAAAAGAGCTGCAGGTTACTCACACATTATACGCAGTGTAGCATCTTAGATTTTGAGCTGCAGGCAAAAAGATGATGTTGGCAAAAAAGATGTGTTGGCAAAAAAGATGTGTTGGCAAAAAGAGAGTTTTTCTCCGATAACGTCAACGTACATCTCAAGCTGCGTAGACTCAAGCTTTACGACAAATGTGAACATACGACGAAAGCTGCAGGTTACTCACATTGATATAGCATCTGACCACCTTGAGTTTTGCGACGCCGGCAAAAAGAGCAGGACAAAAAGAATCGCAAAAAGATCGTTTTCTTCCGGTACCGGGAATCGAACCCGGCTCTCGTCGGAAGCTGACACGATTGACTCATGAAAGCGACGGATGCTAGCCGATACACCATACCGGACTTTGATGGAGTGTTGTCAAACATGATATAATATAATGTGATCGTGAGCCCACAGAGCAGTTTTGAGCCTCCAACTCGAATGCGGCTATGTGCCCACTCACAGACAGGTTCACCTTGGCATGCGCTAGGTGCACTAGCGAGCTAATGTCCTAGTGTCTTAGACGTAGGTCCACAAACACCGTCGCCAGCTAGCATACAACTATTTATTATGCTACAAGAGACAGTTAGATTAGATAGTTCTTTAGGTAGAGTTTCGTATATAGCACACAATACGTTTTAGTACTAATAGCGTTATTAGAGTATCTTAGATTTAAAAAAAATTAAGTCTTAAATAGGTAATAGCTCTCTACTAAGTGTCTTAAAATAAGTTATAATTAAAGTTTAATATATACTCTATCTAAGGTGTACGTAAAAGCGCGCTAAGCCTTTTTAGCTTAGCTGCTAATACTCTAGTAAGTAGCTTATCTTAAAAAAATTACTATATAAGTAATATAATTACTTTATTATTTTTTTTAAAATTTAGATAGAATAGTAATATAACTATAGCTTATTAGTTAAAGAACTATTAAAATAAGTTATAAAGTAGGTTATAAAGTAGAAATACTATATATTCTTATACATAAGTTAGTATATCTTCTTGCGTATTTACTACTACTTATACTACATTAAAATCTTTCTAAATAAACCTCTACTTTTAAAGCTATTACTATATAATAGACACCTTTAATAACGCTAATATCCTTGTCTTGCGCGATCTTGAGGACTCTTATCCCTAAGTCCTGCACCCCGGTATGGCACACAATACGAGCAACATGTTGCGCAGCCTTCTTTCGGCTGACTCTAACGATTGTCGGTTGAAGTGGCGTTCGCCGGAGGCTCGGTGCCTGCAGGTTTCGTCGGAGGGCTTAGCAAACTTCAGCGTTCCTCCCGCGATTAGAACCCAGCATCACCATCAGATGTCGCAATTATTCGTTGCGGGGTCGCGCACCGCAACGCATCCAACAGTCTGCAACGGATTATGGTGGCACCTGGTGCCACCCCACTTCAACGAAGAATAGCACGCGTTCTCAGGTACCATAGGTCGATAATCTGCCCACACTAGGGGTCGGAGTAACTCCTGTCGCATTGTGTGAGAAAATTTTCAACGATAGAAGTATGCATTGCCTTAGAAACTATGCATTTGCTAATGTTTGATAGTATGTATACTGCAAACGGCAAACTCCGACATCAATTCGAGCCACCCGTGTGGTGCATACCTGTGTTCCCGCGATGTATCGTGCCGCAACATGAAATCCAGCGTTTGACCGTCGTGGGGAGCCTTTGTGGTGAAGGTGGGGTAATGTAGATGCAGATGCCCCATAGAGGTTGTATAGCCTGATGGTGAGACGATATGGGATTCTAGCATGCCGCTTCGCCTCGCCTCTTCCTTCTGGAATGCTTGGAACAGCTCGGCCTTTTCTTGAGCGCCTCGACCTCGTATGCTCTCTTCGTCCGTTCTCTTTCTGTGGACGAAGACAGCGATGATGTCAAGATGAGCGACAAGAGCACCGAGGATCACGCCAATCTAGATTGCGCTACGCACATGGAATCTTGGTCGTTCGCGAAGAGCTTGGTATCATATGAAAGCTTCAAAGAGTTCCTAAAGTTTTGGGAACCTTTGCTGACGTCGATCGAAGATTTGAACGCTTCGTTTTCATCATGAATCTCGTCACAGATCACATGTATACAGTTACAAACACCAGCTATTCGAATGGATTTGCATAATTCATATCAGTTCAATGGCTAGACTCGTTTTGTGATGCGGTCGTTCCGCAAACTATAGTGTCGAAAACATAGATAGCGATAAACAGGTTGGATGGGATAGGGCCCAGAGAGTGATAACATCCGCGTTGCCCGTTTCTTCCTTTGCCTAGTACATCCCGATAACCCCTGCTCAACATCAACGACTGAGACAGTACTTTCGAGTAGTCTCATAACGTGCTACGAGGTATGCGATACCTGATTGCTTAGTTGATAGCAATAGAGTACGCCGTCGTAGTCATCTTCGCGTTGCTTCCAGTAAACACCTCCGTGCCCGCCTGCACGACCTGCAGATACAAACTACTCGTGAAACCATTGCTACCGTAGTTTGCCAACAAATACTGGAAGAACAGGTTCTGCATCGACACATTAGCTTCTCTATCATCTCCATAAAGTAAACTCATGCAACCTACCAAGTCGGCGCTGAAGTTCGTCGCCCGACCTCCACGAGCAACAAAACTGTATACCTTGACCGAACCGTTGAGACCGTATGCGAGGTCGAAGATCTGACCTCCAATAGTAACGGTAGCGATGGGTGTGAAGGGGTATCCGTTTGCGGACAAGGGTGATACGCCGCCGTAGACACCGAGCCAGACCATGACTTCGAAGAGGTTGGTTCCGCTGGCTGAAGAGCTGAGGAAGGTATCGTATGCCACTGCAGGTATCACATCAAGGTCAGCCTACAGTCCCCAGCAATGGTTAGAGTGCACGAGAAAGGGCGGAAGTAACATACCATTAACCCGCAAATCGGTTCCAGTATAACTCCACTTCCACGTCGTCGGCATACTTGTGTAAGTACCGATCTGCTTCTTGGTGAAGCCTGTTTCGACGTTCGTGTAGCTCTTGACTTGGTTGGGAGTGCCAGACCATGACCATGTTGTTGACCAGGCTAGGCCAGCTGTGCTACTATAGCTGTCGATTTGAGAGCATTGAGAGCCTGTTCCGGAAGAGAAGCCCCAGCCATTGGTGTAGAGGGTGTATGGGCCGGACGACTGTGATTGGTATTGGCCGCACTGAGCGGCGCGGGATATGAGGGTAGCGGGTGCGGCGAGCGCAGTTGAGGAGAGGAGGAGAAGAGCGGCACTGGAGAACAACATGCTGAGCGATGGATGTGAGTCGGAGCTGTGGTGAGTTGTTGATGGATGAGGTGGATATGAAGCAGGTGCGGGTGCTTTATGTACCTTTCTAGGTGCTCTGATTGTCCATCTCTTATGGCTTCGCCTCCACATCCTACAAGCGATCACTCCTCTTCGCAACAACTTGTCACATTTAGATGCTCCGCCCTTCCGTTTACCTGGCTTCTACTAGTCGTTCCGGCGTATGACCCACAAGCCGACATCGCAGACACACGTAGACCTTTCCATGAGCCAGCAACCAACCATACCCATCAACACTTCCTTCACTCTCGCTGAAGTCCGTAAGCCACTGAATAATCTTATGCCCACCGGATACCATCTTTCCATCGAAGAGGAAGTTCTGGAAGCCAGTGTAAGCCATAGTCATGCACGACATCAGCCGGTCCAATCGCCAGCGGCCAGGGTCCACTAATATAGCTCGCATGCTGCACGCGCGGGACGAACCACGATTCAAGGATCGAGACCGGACTTGAACAACCTGGTTTTGGGAACGGAAGTGCTACAGATGCGGACCGAAAGACCAATGGTTGGCATGCAGAGGAAGGTCGAGAAGCATGCTTGCATCGGTGGCGTGAACATTGTGCGTGACTTGAATTATTGAATTCCGGGTTGCCCTATCAGATGGTGTATTCGAAGGAGGGGATAGCAAGAGCATACTAGCGCTGCTGAGGAATGGGTGAGGGATCGTGCTCTAGCTTCCTCTTTGACATCGCAAGCGCTGTGGAGCTAAAGTGATGACCGCGCTCTACATCCACAGTGTGCAGAAGGACGTCTGAGCTACGGATGTGATCAGCCCTTCCAAGCCCTGTGATGCGCCGATAGTCGCCACTCCCTCCGAGCGTGTGAAGCAGCATCCCCTTTACCTCATGGCTTTGGCGGTACCGCGAAGAGATCTGCGCAGTGCGGAAAGGTCTCGTGAACAAGTCCAGTCCAGCTCGAAAAAGGTTAATGACACGCAAGTCTCGCCGAAGATACGAGGACACAAGCCTCGCGCATGCGCTCGAACCGAACACCATTATCTAGCTCTTTCGTACGCTGCGCCGCAGCATGTTTGCTCGCCGCACTAATCCAGGAAGGCCAAGCTCTCTCCCAAGGCTGCAACGTGGAGCTTGTTGATCCTCGGCGCGTCTGAAATTAGGATGAAACGTACCGTTGCAAACAAGTTGGAGGGAGTAAGCGCTGTATCCTTTCCTGAGCTTTACTATGTGCGCATTTGAGTGCTCCGTCATCTCCAACGTTGACTGGCATGTGCCAGGGCGACGATGCGAGCATTCTGAAGGAGACCAGCGTCGCATACGGAAAGCTGAATTACGACGAGGCACGCTTAAAAGATACCGTAGACAGAGGCCGCGAAAGCATAGAAGAGATTGCCCAGGCTATCGCCCACATCGTGAAGATCGAGAAGATAAGTTGCTCGGGCGAGCCTGGAAGAGATCCTCTGAGAGATTGGAGAGATCGCAGAAAGCAGCGACTTCCTACTTATAGACCAAACTACGGCAGAGCAGGTCCGCCCAAGCTAGGTAATGTAAGTTGCACACTTGCAGCGCCGCATCTCATGAGCTGGGTACTTCTCATGGCATCATCATAGATTGCCGAGCGTGCAATTGACTTGCGCACAGCCACGATCACGACTGAGCTACTCTCTGGTGTGGACATGCCTTCGAACGACAATGTGAATCCATCTCGTGGCACAGCGTATAAGTGCAGGGCAGCCTCGTGCGGCGCTCGCCGATGGAAACGAACCTGATGCAGCGCGACTGCATTGCTTTTGCGCGTAGAAAAACGCGACAAAATTGTGATATGTCGGCGTCGGCGTGTATATCGGGTCGTAAGTCCAGCCATTGAAGGAGACGAGCGGAGGACGCGTCAAAAGTCACGAGGTGTTCGCGTCGTGCCGCGGCTTCTCGAACGGCACGTGATCGGTTTCGCCGGCTAACCATCTAGAGGCTAGATCATGACGTAGCTCATCACCAAATCCAATCCACGGATCCATGGATGCTCTGCTATCCGAACAACACTCGCCCGCAACAATGCACGCAAGACCTGCACGACCCAGAAACCATACAGTCACAGGAGCGGAGATGTGATCGGTGTCTGCGCGTTATACATGCTCATTGTTGATAGTTCTCCATCCATGCGCCGCGCCCCCTGCTCGGTATGCGGCAACCCCAGGTCAGATACAACTCGCCTCAGTCCTCGAAATCCCAATACGCTTTATCCAGCTCCGCCTGTATGCCCTCGATCAACCTCATTTCGTGCGGCTGGACCCGGAACAAGCGCGGTCCACCTACACATGGGTTGGAGCATTCGCATGCAAGCGAGGCATCTAAAAGGGAGTCAGTACGTATTCCACATGCCTTTATAGGACTACTTACTGTTCGTTATGGCGATCTGAAGATCCTGTTCGAGAATGCGTATACCGGCAGTATGGTTATTGCGCTTGTCGTTCAGTAGCCGCGTCCAGTAATTCCGGGTAGAATCTTTGATGCAACCGCTCATTGTATACTTGATTCCTTTTGTATTCCTGAGAGCGACAAGACCATTCCAGGCGGTGATAAAAAATATGTCAATCCACTTCTTTTGGCATGGATGAAGCGGTTTCCAAGGGCAGTTGGCAAGCTCATGTTCAGGACCAATGAAGCGAAAATCGATGATATCGAGGTTTCCAAACCCAGCCATAGAAATGACATTAATTGGAACAACGCCCCTCTGAAGCGGTTGTCCAAGTTGAGGACAAATGCCCCCGAATGCCAAGAATTCTGTCGCAGTCATCTCAATCTGAAGCTTCTTCAGGAAGTTACCAGGAATTACTATCCGCCTGAGTTGGCGCCAGATCTTTTCAGGTGACGCGGCGGGCCCAATCCCGTCCCCACGCGTACGAATCGTTGTGAATCGCTTGACAGTATCACGGTTGGCGACTTGGGTGGCTTCATCCTTTACCTGGCGACTGACGCGCATGATCTCCATATTGGGACGCTGTATATTGGGATCTCGATTGCGCCCTACGCGCTCGGGATTATCGTACGATAGGCCATATCCAAGCACAAGCTTCTCCGCGCCACCAGGCTGTGTAACGACATCCGGAACAACGACTGGCCCGATGACGTGTAGGTAGATGGCTTCGCGCATCTCTAGAGGTAAGTCCAGTAGCCGGAAAGCTTGCCCTGTACCTTCCCACCACAAGCGCTGCTCCTCGTACTGCGATTCCGGGAGCCTCATCGCCCACATATCGTCTTCGGCAGTGCAGTACGTATCGCGGATCCATGCAGCTGCGTCGCGCTTGGTCTTCTTGATCCTGCCAAACTCGGTGATGATCATGTCTTCAGCCACACAATTCGCGGATGGTAAATCGATCGCAACGGTACGGGTGTAGCCGTCCGACCTCAGCGGCTCGGTGAAGGTATACCACTCACTATGGACGCTTGTATCGTGCCGAGCGATAGCACGTACTGCTTCGATATCTTCGGCATTGGCCTGAGATACTACTAGTAGCTCGTTCTGATGCTTGTGACAGTGACTGTGCTGTGATAAGAATGAGAAGTTGGTCCTGCGCTCTTCTTGTATGAACTCGTGGAGAGCGGCGATGAGGTCGGAAGGCTGCGGTTCAGGTGTAATGACTTCACTCCCGTGTTGCCTCTTCGGCCCAACGCCGTCATTCCGCGCAGATTCGTCGTCGCTATCGCGTTGTCTTTTCGGCATGAAATCGTCGGTTGCGTGGGTGAGATTCGACCCAAGGTGAAGTGTAGAGAGCGTAGATCTTATGTCCTCCATGGTATAGCTGGTTGCGACCGTAGCAATAAGTGAAATGACTGTTGCTTATTCCGGAGGTGAGCGGTTCCTAGGTATACGTACCAAAGTTTATCACCTGAGCAGGTGCGCAGCAGCACGTCTGGGCTGCGTCATCCGCGGCACTAGTCTCTATTCGTACTAGTGCGCAAACACTACCGTGAAAGCCCTGGAGTGAAGACACAAAGTAGTGCTGTTTGTATAGTGGAGTGAAAGGAAAAGCACGCGCATCATTCTTCTCGGTGATTCCCTACTTGTGATGTCTTCTGTAGATAGTGTCTTTCCCACTGATCTACTCCGCACATTATCAGCCAGGGTAAACAAAATATCGGCGCCGCCCCGACAGGAGAAGGAAAGACTTGAGGTGCCTTGCTGTATACATCAGTCTTGAATCCAAGGATCGACCATATTTACAGACAATGTAGATTCTGGGAGATGGATGTTTAGTGTTTTCCCTGTGTGGGGTGGCGCGGCGCAGGTGGAGCAGATCCATATCCGGATGGCATCGATGAGATGCAAGCACTGTGGACAAGAGAAAAGATGATTGAATATGTGAAATTTGATTTGACATCGCTATGCTGATGCTAGACTCATAAGTCGTAATAAGCGAAGCGCCTATACAAGGGCTTCTTGGTATATATACATGTTCTCGTCACCCCCAAACTATGCGTAAGACTGAGCAGAGCACGTGAAGGGACTTCGTACAGCACCGGAGTTGTACTGTGTGATGATATCCTCGACGGAGGCGTAGGTACCGGCACCAAGAACAACAAGCCCAATGACGAAGACAATGGAGTTGAGAATGCTCAGGCTGATGTTCTTGGCATTTGCGTTCCACTTGCCCTCTTTGACGAGCTGGAACCAGAAGAGTGCGGGCCAGTAGAATGTGAATCCGGAGATGAAGAGGGAGGAGATGAGACCGAGGAGGGCGTTGAAGAAGGGAATGGCCTCGGCGATGATCCAGCCGATGACTGTGACAACGGTGATGAGTCCGACCCAGACACCCCAGCCCTTGACGTCCTTGACGAAGCGGATGGGCGAGGTGGGGAAGATGCGGTCCATGATGTAGCGGCAGACGACGGTGCCGTTGATGGATCCGGAGATGAAGATGACGGGGAGCGCGATACCGAAGGCAATGCGGGACACGGTGTTTCCGGCAGAGAGAAGAGCAGGCGACTTGACCTCCTGGCCGACGAAAGCGTAGATGAGAGCACCAGTCATGGTGTAGATGAAGATCTCGATCAGACCGAGGGCCCAGATGGACTTGACGTAGTCCTTGGGTGTGTGCATCTCCGACATGAAGGAGAATTGGCAGACGGCGAAGGAGTAGGCGAAGATGATGTTGGTGGTCGCCAGGAAAGCTTCGTAGAACGAAGTTCCGGGTTGAGGCCACGCGGACCAGTTCACTGCGCTCAATCCGCCAGGAGCATCGTGCGCTTGGATACCAGTTGCGATGATGGTGAGCAAGATGGCGGCGATGATACTAATAAAGTCGATGTAGCCCAGGAAAGCGAAGTCGTGGAACGTGGGTGGCAGAGCAAGAACCAGCAAGATGATCATAGATACTACACCCCATACGAGCGCGCATGTGGTGTAGTTTCCGATGATGTTGATAAAGGCGATTGTTCCGGTAAGCGCGTGCGATCCAACCAGCAAGATGAGGAAGAGTGCGAACATGACACCAGTGAGTTCCTTTCCGAATTTACCCCAGATGATTTCGACGGCATCCGAGTAGTGGTTGACATGCGGGTAGCGCATCTTGACCTGACCGACAACGTAGGATGTGTAGATTGCGACAAGACCAAGACCAACGCACATGATGACACCGGGGACCATTCCGAGAGTAGCGAACGCGCTAGGGATACTGAGAGAACCAAGCGCAATAGCTTCGACAATCAGGCAAACTGTGAGTTGCTTCCAGCCGAGACGGTGGAACTTCTCCGATCCCTCCTGGACGGTGGCAGTCTTGTCGACGGGCATCATGAGCTCGGGGTCGCTCTTCTTGCCCTCAGACGAAAGGTCGTCCAGACGGTAGGTCGGCGGTGCAGCAGCGTAGTGCCGCGCGGGAACGCCAGTGTTGACGCCGTTGGAGGCGTATTGTGGCTCAGGGTTGCCCGTCGTGAGCCCGTGGGCGTGCGGTACTTCCTGCATCTTAGAAAATGCAAATATGAATTTTTCAAAAATGACGGTGGGGTGGAGTCGTGGTCAAGTCGGAAGCTGGAGGGCAGTCGCGACTTTTTGGTGTTTGGCGCCTGCTGACGAGCTAGTTTGCCCGGTACCCCAAAAGTAGCAGTAGAAGTGTAGGTCACAGGTCCAGTCGTCGGAATCGGGAAGACGGCGGCGCGTGATATCGACTGTCTGTGACGTACCGTGGGACCGGTGAGAAGGTAGTGTGAGTTAGCAGCGGCACGCAGGAATAACCGTTTTCAAGGCCAGCGGCTGATCTTGTTTCTTATATCAACACGTCTTATCTCTCCGCATGTTCTGCATGTGTAATAGAATGTTCCAAGCGGCCTTCCCCCGCGCGCTCCCAGCATGCTGGGCGACCGATGTTGACCGAAAGCTGGCTATCGAGGGCCTTAGCGAACTTCGGTCTATTGCTCGCATCGTACCAGAGCTTGGTGCGTGCAGCCAGAATCGTTGCCCTTTAGTGGCGTCGTTAATGACGCGGTCCACATGGTGCGTCGCAGTTGACGTAAAATTTTCTCTTTTTTACGTGTTTGAGTGGTGAGTTTGGGGACGTGCTTGATGTGACATCGCCTGGATCCGTGCTAGGTGACATCAGAGCGAACCATGCATGCGGTTCTGGACATAAGAGAGCTGCGGTGCTCACGCGACAACCTGTAAGCTGGGGATAAGCGTCTGCACTGGATGGTGACGACGACAGAGGCGTCGCGTAGGGCTGGTTTGGCTGCATGGGGGCGGCGACAAGCCTTTAGGGCCGCGCCATCCCGGGCCTCGGCGGGGCTTGATAGATTAACCGAACAGGTACCGGGGCGCAAAACTCTGACTAAGGCTGCTCCGATGCGTCCCGTCAACTACACCCAGCGCGGTAATGCACGACGCGCCCCTCGGTGATTTGGTCTGGCCGCACTGCAGCTTGGCTGCTCGAAGGGTCATAGCAGGCGCGGCGTGACCGTGGCTTATCTTTGATCCAGGGTTTTGTGGAGTGCATTGCCGAACTTTGCGCCGCCCAATGATATGGGGGGTGAATGTGATTGCTTGGACATGGCTACCGTCTACCCCAGGATCCCAAAAACCTCAGGGGGCACCGGGCACCGTGGGATGTTGCGCCATCATGGCGCGCTTGCCGAACAGCCGTGGTACTCCAGATTAGGAGCGAAGGGAGAATCCGTCGATCAAAGGGCGCAAACGATACTCGGGCAAGTTTCTACAGTAAACACATCGGGTATTGGCTATTCGTGGACCCTCCGGCTCTTGGACAACGGACGGAACGGCATGCCACAGCCGTTGTCGGAAGCTACCTGAGGCCGCGGCCTTTGTACACTACTACTCAACTACGCCGCCGTCTTGAGAAACTCATCCACTACATGCGGGTCCTTCTCGACTTCTTGGGCACCTCTGCTTCGCCTGCTCTCCCAAGTTTCACCCACGTGGGCGTCTTCCGCCGTCGACCCAGGTGTGAAGGTAAACACGCGATGCTCACCTGTAATAGAGTTAGCTGATACTGCAGACTAAATATAGAGATGTACCGACAATTCTTCCACGCTGTGCCAACCATGGGGTCTTCGACTTCCCAGTCCTCGGTGAGGAAGTGTGCAAATGCGCCATGAGTGACGACCAGGACCTGTCCCATTAGCAAACCGCTGTTAAGAGGAAACTAACGGCAGCTTTACCTGCGCTTCGGGCCTTTGGTACAGCCAGTTCCTGAGATCAGAAGCGCGCTTCGAGATGGCGCGCTTCTCGTACGCCCAATAGTCTTCCTGCGAGGCGTTAGTAAGCATGCATGCTGATGTCAAACCGGGAGATCGACTAACCTTGGAGTTCCAGCCCGCTGTCACCGCTGATGCATCAACTTTGCTGATGTCAAAGTCAAGTTCACCTTCTGCAAACAGCTTCGGTAGAAATGCGTGCACTTCATCTGCAGTATCTGCAATTCCGACATCACAGCCAATATTGCTGACCTCTTGCAAGGCTGGCAACAGCACGAACGGCACCTCTTTCCGTGCGAGCACAGGGCCAAAACTCAGCGAGGCGGTCTGGATCGTTCGTCGTAGCGGCGACGCAAATACTATGTCTATTTCCTCATGATGTTGGAATGCCGAGCTAAGCGCGCGACATTGTTCTTTGCCTTTTTCTGTCAGCACAGCGTCGCGAATGCTGTAATTGCGCTGCGGCCAGTTAGTCTTACTGGATCCGAGGTTCTTCTTTATGATATGGAACATACGGTCGCGTTGTGTTCTCCTTGCGCATGGCGCACGATATGGATCTTGGGAGACATCGTGGTGTTGGTTGAGAGTTGCTGAATCTGCATTCTACGCTCGATGGTGGGGCTTGCCGAAGGAGCCACTAAAGTGCTATCGTGCAGTGGCGAATCTGAGATTGATGCGTGAAAACTTGGTCTCACTGAAGCTCCTCAGATGCTTTCTGTGTTCAGTTCCAGAAGTGATATTGAATTCGGGTCTTGTCTTCTGCTGCGCAATAGCTCTGCGTTGTGTTCGTACTTGAATCCAAAGATACTTCGAGTCTGACACGGAAGGTTAGCCGAGACAGCCAGCGCTAACCATTCCTGGAAATGCATCTCGCAAGCAGCTTCTACATTGGAAGAACAGGTGTAGGACCGTGAATCCTTCGTCGGTAGTGAATATCCAGAACTGAAACCGAGTAAGGTCTCCAGGCTAAACAGTTGACATCTTCGACACGTTGCCGATGATGCAACTGGCTAGTCCAGCTCTGCGGTCAGCCCCTGGCTTACTCCATGTCTCTTGCCATTACCAGCTCTTTCTTTCTTATCGTGTTATCGCAGCGCATGCGTGTTATCGAAAGTGACTTTTCGGGAGTCATCATGAATGCCTGTTGATGAGTGAATGGTGCCCATACATGTAAGAGACTGGTTGGAGAGCGTGGAGCACGATCAAATAAAACTGCCGCAGCAAATGGGTCGAACATGTAGAGAACAAATCCGTTCGTGTTGAACTGCTGCCATTGGTATGCGCGATGTGCGCCGCTACTACTGACAAGCACGCGCGTGATGGATGGTGTTGAGTGTTGGAAGTGAGCTGTATTATTCGGAAGGAGCGATGACACTCGAGCTTTAGTTAGCGACTTTCCACGACCGATGTGCCACCATGCCTCTACGCCATCGCGACGTACTCTTTAAGCTGGTCTATACCACTAAATTGCATTCTCGAGGCGATGCAATTGATGCGACATTCAAGTACAACGCGTAAACCTTGTTCGCGACGGTCGTCCTTGCACCTGCTGCGACACTGAATACTCGCGACGTTGCGACGCGAACGCCCGTCTCCAAGCAAGCTTCGCGCATCCCGCATCGACTGCGATCATTGCCAAAGCCCAACCGGGGCTCCAGAATGTCACTTGTCAAAGCAGCGCAACTTTGGACAGAATAGGTCTCATTCGCACGCGCCCGCTTTTGTGTTGATACGTCATGTTCGGAACGCGTTGTACCTGGGCATCGTGAGTTCCTTCCCGATCGCGCGAGCCAATGCACGTTTTCGGGCAAGCTGGGGCATCGGATCCGCAAAAGACCCCGCAGCGCTAGCGCAAGCAGTCTCATCTACCATCCAGGAAGCCTCACCATTATCCTGGACATCATTGAGAGCTTTACGACTTTTGATCACTATTCGTTCAATATGACAAGCAGTGAGCCAACAGTACTTATCATAGGCGCTGGTACCTTTGGCGCGTCTACTGCCTATCATTTGGGCAAACAATACAAAGATCCATCGCGGATTACTATCGTCGACCGTTGGGATAGCAATACATCCCTAAAACAAAAGCAAGCGGCAGCCATCGACACTAATCGCATTATTCGTACCGACTACGAATCTCATCTTTACTGCAATCTTGCCAATGAAGCCATTCATTTTTGGTTCTGGAGCATAGCAGTACAGGGGCATTTCCACAAAACCGGTTGGGTCGTGTTAGACAAAAAGAACGGTACTTTTGGCGATGCGATTAGAAAAACATTCGTTGAGAGAGGAGGCGACTACACGCGCGATCTAGAACCGCAAGAGCTGGACAAGTACGCTGTGACGAAAGGCATCAAGGCTGCAGAATATGGAAAGGGCTACTTCAACCGCGAAGCCGGCTGGTGCGACGCGGAAAAAGCAACACAAAGCTTCACGAAGGTTGCATTGGAGCTAGGAGTCAAGAGGGTGACTGGAGACGTGCAAGAGTTATTGCTGAGCGCCGACCGACGCAGCCTAGCAGGTGTAAAGCTAAGAGATGGTCAAATTCTGAAAGCCGACAAGATCGTGTTGGCAGCAGGAGCATGGACCAGCTCTTTGATGTCGCCGATCGAGGATGCTTTGAAGATCCAGGAACCAGACCGCATCGAGCGCCAGATCACCGCTGTAGGACGGGTCTCTGCATACTATACACTGAACGAACAAGACACTCAGAGCATGATCGACGAAACAGTACCTGTAATCGTCATTGGCGGAGAGGTCGACATCATCCCACCCTCGCAACCGAACCGAACGCTGAAGATCAACGACATTAAGACAGAAATCATCAACACGGTTACGACCCCGTCCGGTCATAAAATCACTATGCCATCTCGAAGAAACCAGAACGATGTCCCTGAGAGACTCAAGCGTGAAAGCGCAAAAATCATGCACGGTGCTATGCCAGATTGGACACGAAGCAAGCAACCAGACAGATGGCGAATTTGCTACGACGCCGTCACGCCAACCGAAGACTGGCTAATGTGTCGACATCCTCACAAAAGTCTCGCCAACTTGTACCTCGCCGTTGGCGGTAGCTTCCACTCGTACAAGTAAGTGGCCTTAGACTCCATGTCGCGGTTGTAATACTAATCGTCTTCTCAGATTCCTCCCCGTCGCCGGCGCATACATGTGCAACGTACTAAGCGGCAAGGGCAACGGTGAGGAGAAAGATACGGCCTGGAAGTGGAAGACCGCCGAAGAACTGTCATGTCGCAAGGGTAAGGAGTTTGGTGAAAGCCCCAGGGATTGCGATAAGAAAGAGTTGAGTGAATATGAGGAGGGAGCAGCATCGAAGTTATGATCGTTAAGAAGCAACCACAATCAAGTTTTCTCGGGATCACATGTCGCAATCGACTGAGGCTTCGTTAACTCCACGCTAAATGATCTTGTTCATTCGCCATCATTAACGACAGCGAGTGAGTCCTTGATCTCTTCGTCTCTTCGTCTCTCCCATTGATACCAGGGTCGTGTTATTCTGTTATCACTCGCGGTGGTCGTGAGTGGCTCGCCATATTTGCCATGTCTCGACCGCCCGCTTGCTTCACTCGGGCTCCATTTGCCTTCGAAGGACAAGCAACTGCTGGTGGAATGTGGATATAATGAAGCTTGGGTCGCTTTCATGCGGATCGCAGCCTTTCTTATTGACATGAGTGAAAGAGGGTTGAATGTCGCCTTAGTGGCGCGATCTGGTATAGAACTCTCAAGGCGCATATATACGCAGCTACACTAGCATAGAAGTGTTCACACTGTCACTCAACAGCTGCGCAGTCACCCAACTCGCGGACACACCAGACTACACAATTCTTTCTCTATCGTGTCACTCCATCCTCCAACGTATAGTTGAAGACATGTCTTCCATGGAGCATTCTCCCGCCAACAACGACAACAGTGCTAAAGAGAACACCATCACCAAGCCCAGTGAAGGCACGTATAGAAGTTTACTCAACACCGACAACGACGTCACCGTAGACGAAGAGCTCGCCGAGGATCAAGAAATGGAAGACAGCTACGTGTTTGTAGAAGCCGATTACCATTCCTACAGCGATGCCGCATCTTCTGTCGCCGAAGGCTCGAGTTCAAGCTGTGAGCTCCCAGAGCGTGAAGAGGATGAAGATGCAAAGTCCAAGAGTGACGCTGGAAAGATGGAAGAGCAGAATGGCGGTGTCAGGAGGGGATTTGTCAAGAAAGCGACGAAGGAAAAGCCTTCTGGTGGCGAAGGGAGTGATGGTAAGGATGACGGAGAAGATCTGCCAGAATTCGTGAAGGTAAGTCAAAATTCGATAACCACACATCAGGTTGCTGATGAGAACAGACTGTGTTATCACTATTCCTACGTTCGATCTCCGGGATTGATTTTGTAGGGTTGAGCAGAGAATCGTGGCGGAAAAAGCCCGGAATGCGAGACGAATAGCAGATAACCGAGTTCAGAAGGAGCTGGGGGCATGAGAGGGGCGTAGTCTAGCATGTTTGTTTCTTGCTGGCTCCCTACAGTGGCGAGCACGGACGTAGGCACAACGTAACGTCGTGGTCTGGAAAGGTAGTTCACGGAAGAGAAAGCTCAATTATAGATTGTATATCGCATCATCTTGGCATTGAATCGCGCCCCATGCACTGACCTACTTCCTGTCATGTACTCAAGCGATGGTCGGCCTAGAGAGAAAACACTGAGCTCTCTACTCCTGTAGTAACTCAACCCCGCTAATACATACGAAGTTTACAGACCGCTCATCAAAGGGGTGCCCACCATGCCGCGCGTAGGGAAACCTCGCATGGACGACGATAACAGCCAAGCAGACTTCACCCAGCTCGTCGACGGAAAGAAAGTCGTCGCCCTACCCAATGATACTCTACCGAGTCTGCCGAGGCATCCTGATGGCAGCTACGTGTTCGTTCGTGACGAGACTGCTAAAACCATCGAGGTAAGCATACAAGCGCCCTTCAAAGCTCAATCATGCATGCTAACGCTTCTGCGCAGGACAAAAGCGCACAAGACATCATCGCCTACTACGCCAAGATCCTCGCCATCGAAACGAAATCCAGACCCCATCCTAGCTTAACATCGAATGCAATCATCGACGGGCTCGACACCCTCCGCATCTGCTCCGAGATCTTCTCCGACAATCCTACTAAGCCCGCTTTTGTCGCGGAATACTTGCACATGCTAGCGCCGCAACACCAGCTCAGTCTCTCCATCGTTCTTTCCATCATACTCGACACAGACGACTGGATGAATCTCGAGCGTGAGGTTGTCAGGGATGAGGAGTTCGAGATCTCAGTGGTGATTTGGGCGCTGAAAATTGGGCCTGAGGGGCTAATGCTGGGGAGGGTGGAGGGGAAAAGTGAGATGCAGATCTTGTTGGCGGCGGAGGAGGCGTGGATTGTGGTGAATGAGGGTAAAGTAGAGTATGAAGAGAAGAAGATGGAGTTGAGGCGCATTGCTGCGGAGGTGACGATGTGGGGGAGGGGCGCCGCTGGGATGTTTGCTAAGAAGGGTCGAACTGAAGATGATGACTGAAGGGTTGATGGGACTACCAGACTAGGGTAAACATGTGCGTCCCGGCACTGGTCATGTTCGATATTTAGTCTTGATGTTTGCCTCAGTCGAGGGACCGTGTAGGAACAAGTTTTACCTTTGCTTGGAAGTCAGCTTGCGTACAAACAGTTGCTATAGCTTGTAGCCAACAAGGATATCCCCAAGCATATATTCTTCGAGTACGCTTGATGGCCTTCTTCCGCTGTGGCCTAAATGGTCGTACAAACGAGTGCCTGATCGGCTCATCTGCACATTGCGAGAGAGTGCGATGCAGACATTCACCGCACCCTTCTCCTTCTGGAAGAAAGCCTCCAGTCCACGGACCTCTTCCAGACCCACTTGTCGAATGGCATTCCCTAGCTGTACTCTCCTCCTCTTGTGCTATATAAAACGTCAGACCCACAGCTCCGCGCCCTGATCCAACCACACCACAACTTCTTTATAAAGTACAAGACCAACTAATCCACAATCGCGACGAATATGCCTGCTTCCAAGATCCCAGAGACTTTCGATAACGTCAGCAACAAGGGCGCTGCGAGTATCACCGACGAAGTTGAAGAGATGGACGACTTCGTCCTCGTATCCCCTGGCGACTACCCAGAGGCACCCGCACCATCCTCTACTGCTGCGAAAGATGTCTGGACCGAGATTATTAAGATCACCCGAACCGAAGATGGTCTCTTCGACAAGGTCAGCACTACTCTCCTTGGCCGTTGAAGCCTTCCAACTGACATAACACAGGGCGAAAAACACGTCACCGCCGTCGAGACCTGCCGCTACCACCTCCGCCCCGCCGAATGCCTTAAGACATGTAGTAGCACATTCAAATGCGATGCTTGCCTATCACTGATCGCCGGTCTCGAGACCCTTGCCAACTGCGCCTGGGAATGGTCCAACGAGAGCAAGCCGTTCCAAGACAACATCAGCAATATCATGCACTGTCTGCACTGCCTCCCCTTTCACTTCCAAGAAGGTCTCTACAGTGTCATTGAAGCTGTAATGGACCACGAAGAGAACTGGCCGACGGCGGACCGAGAGAACTGCGAGCTGTGGGGGTTCAAGATCTCTGCTGCTTTATGGTTGCTTCGCCTGGGTGTTCATGGTTTGGCTTGGGCGCTCGAGGAGGGTAAGGAGTGGCGTCTTGTGCTGGCCGAGACGGAGCGGTCGTGGTATGAGGGGCTTGTCGTTGCTGATGAGTATGAGGAGGCTGTTGAAGAAACGAAGCGTTTTACCAAGGCTTTCCGCAAGTGGGGTGCGAGCGTTGATGCTGAGCGGCGCGCTCAGTCTTCGGCTTAGTTCGATGTGTCTCGGTAGATCTAGCGCGTAAACAACGATCGGTTCTTTGTTCACAACATAGTGGACGCCGCGACTACTAGCTTTCGGGTAGATTACAATGCCACGCAATTAGAATAACTTTCCATCAGACTTCAAGACGATGCACAATGTCATTGGATGGACTGTGTGATGTGATAAAATGTTGGATGTTTGATAATAGTGTGTTTTGATCCACGACGCACCTGTGATACCATTTACTCCTTCACCTTGATGACAACCTTTCCAAAGTGACCTCCGCTGAAAAGATACTTGATCGCTTGATCTGCCTCTTCGAACTTCCAAACACGGTCGACCACTGGCTTGATCTTCTTCTCGTCGTAGAACTTGAGCATTCTCTCCAGCTCAGTCCTAGGGCCGTTCACAATGCCCTTGAGTGTGACATTTCTCTTCAAACACAACAAGTTCGTGTTCGTCCTGTCGCCAGCCTCATCTTGCTTGCCAGATAGGTAGCCAATGCAAGAGATCAATCCGCCGAAGCGTACACACTCGAACGACTTGCGGAGCGTCTGCGCGCCACCGACTTCGATGATGATGTCAGCGCCCTCGTCGGAGGTAGCAGAAAGGACCGCGTTTTCCCAGTCGGGGGTGTTGCGGTAGTTGATGGTGGTCTTCGCACCAAGCTTAGATGCGCGCTGGAGCTTCTCGTCGGAGGAAGATGTGACGATGGCATCTGCGCCTGCTGCGGATGCGATCTGGGCTGCTGAGATGCTTACACCGCCAGTACCCTGGCACAAGACCTTTTCGCCCGGTCCAATGATCTCGCCATTTGGTCGCATACAATTCAAGCTCATCCAGGCGGTTACAGCTGCGATTGGCAAGCAAGCCGCTTCGTCATCGGATAGATAATCTGGTATCTTGACAACGCCATACGTGGGGAAGACACGGTATTGCGTCAACACTCCAGGCGCAGGTCCGCCTAAGCCACCCGCGATGTCTGAGGCCTTGATTTGTCCGCTGAGATGCTTCGGCGCAAATGTACTGATGACCCGGTCGCCTTCTTTGAGCTGGAAAGCTGGGTTCTTGTAGGGGTCTGAAGTGTTGTTGGAGACTGGGCCAACCGCAACAACTACACCGCACATGTCGCTACATGGGACAATAGCGGGGGGATGCTCTACGGACTTGTGGTGGTTGTAGAGGCCCATGGCGACTGTCCACGTATTTAGCGTTGTTCAAATGGCCGTCCAGACCCTGCCACAAAAGTAGGTGTGACCACATCCCACTGTACGTACCTTCGGTATCCCTGTAGTTCAGACTCACGGAATGGACTTCAACCAACACCTCGTCTTCGCCAGGGGCCGGGCAATCCGCCTCGCCCATCCTGAGCTTATCGAGCCCGTCCTGGCCCGTGAGCCATTGCTTGATCTTTTGTGGAGGCGTCATCTCGAGATCTCGAACTGAAAGTTGAAACAGAGTCGAAAGCTTTTGGGTTGCCAAATCTAAGGTTTACAGTTGACGTAGATGTCGTGTTCTTAATGTCCTTGGTTTTGCGCTGGGAAAACAGTCCAGAAATTTCGCTCAGCCAGTCTCGGCGGTCTTGGGAGAAGGGTGGGGTGGGCATCCCGGGCAGTATCGTCTACTTAAGGCCTGGATTTGCTATGTAAGCTGCAAGAAATGCAGATGGTGGATCTCGAGCAGCGGGCAGAAAACCGCCGAAAGGTGTGGGGATGGGCATTATTTCTATGTGTCGTTGCGATGACGATAGGGTGCTCACGGCTGGTCATTGAGGTGTTCGTGAGGAGCGTCACCGCATTGGCCGTCTTCGCCCGATGAACCGAGGTAGGCAGGGTGTTGTCGGAAAGCGCGAGCCGATGCCAGCCTACAACACCAAGACATTTCTTACGAGACTCAGGAGCGCATGGAAGAAGCCACCGACAACTTCAATATTCAATTCTTGCACATCGCGCACGGTGCTGTCTGCTAGGGTGAAACCTGGATCTTGCCAGATGATGCAGCATCCCTGATGACGCGCTACGATCGATCGACCCCGGAAAGCGGGAAGTCTCAGGGGTACCGTCTGGAACAAGGCCATGACGATGCTGGTGACCACTAGATCGGACGATAACATGCGATCGGGAAAAATGACATGCGATCGTTCCGGAACGTCTTATTTTATTATTGTATTGAAACTGCGCACGGCTCGTGGGGTTCAGGTACGATATTGAAGCTGCCACGCGACTTAGCGCGTGTGGGATGAGAAGAGAGCATGACGACATGTGATACTGTGATATAAACGCGACGCGACCCTCTGGAAAGAAGCCAGCATCTCATCCACTGCAACACATCGCATCAACATCCTCAACCTCTTCGACATCTTCGCCCCTTCATCAACATGAGGCCCCAACTACTCTACTCTGCGAGCCAGGAGGCCGTTCCTCCGCCACTCCAGAACTTCTTGAGCCCTGAGTTTGCGCCTGCTCTCACTGTGATGGAGCAGTTCGAAGCGGACCTTTTGCGCATGGACGAAGAGCATCTTCAGCATCGCGAGCGAGCTACACCCGAAGTTCCATCCCCATTCCCTGACGATGGACTACCAAGCGACTCCACTCTGTTCGGCAGAGTGAGGACATTGTACCGGCGGTTCTCCAGCTTCTCCCAACGCAGCAGCAGCCGTGCGAGCGACGCCAGTCTCTGAAAACAAAACATGATATCGTCATGCAGGTACAAGCGTTCGCATAGTCGCACGCACTAGTCGCTGTCCTGTCCCCATCGACCCGGGCCGCCCTTCAAAGCCATGCGCTATGGCCACCACAATCTCATTCCCGGATCGAACAAGCATCGACAGGCAGCATCAACTATACGAAATCGCATCATGAATGCGCTCAGCCCGGCAAGCCTCAACTCAAAGGCAGATGCATAGATTGCACACCGAGCTACCGCCAACCCGCGACCCGTGTCATGACATGGACCATTGAACCCGCCAGCCGCCGCCGCTAGTCGGCTGTCCCGCGGTGTCGATATCGATCGCGGGTCGGGAACCCGAGGCCCGCGTGGAAGAGCGGTTGGTTGAGAGGAAGGTCAATGACGTTGACACAGTCGATCTGTCTCGTCACGATTGACACACCTGCTTCAGTGCAGGCAATCTCCTTATTGGCTATCAAGGAGTTATAGTCGAGCGTCGGGCTGATCCTGATACATCCCGCTCTGCTCTTGCGCCTAGCATGGGCCTGGCTAATCGCCACGCCATTTGGAGAGCTCAACATGGCCCGAAGTGGAGATTGAGGATTTTGAGGTAGCTGTTGATTTCTAATAGTGTTCGCAAATTCTAGGATGCATAGGTTGTTGACTGGATGTGTTCAGTGTTATAATGTCTAATTACCATTTCAATTCCAACCCAGTCGGCATCTTCTGATACCTCTTGGTACGCCGTCGCAATCACTTTACCGTTCACTATGAATTCCGCGACGCAAAGTATATAACCGTTCTGGTTGAATGGTATAATCTACTGCTCGAGCAAGTGTATTGCGCCTTCCAGCCCATGAAGCCGTGATGATCGCGACGTGGTATGTGAGCGCATCGGAATCAGGTAACTCCACCGATCGCCGTGAGCGTCCAGTGATAGTCAGGTTTGGTGGGATAGTGGTGAACACAATGTACACAAAGCCCGACAAATGCTAAATCAGTGTGAAGGCTTTTCATACACCTCAACATCAAAGTGATTGAACTAGCTGAGGCTCGAAGCTGTCGTGATCGCGAGTGAGCTGTGATTACGTATGCCAAGGCGCTAGAACAATGTTATCGATTGGCAAACTTCCCGACGTCCCGTCCCCTTTCCTGCCCACAGCTGTCTCGGTCGTCACATTTGCCGATTACAGCTTTCTCATTCAGACCAAGCGGTTCAATCGCATGCGCTGCTACGAAGTACACGATCAAACATCTGTGGTTATGCAAAGTACCTCCATTTTCACGCTTTCACCTTTTCCCAAGCTGCCATCCCCCGACCTCATGTCCTGCCCGGCAGCAGCATATACATTTCCGTTATCGTACGGCCATTTGCGTGCCTTACCAACTCTTCATTCATATGTCAGTCCTGAGCCAAAGGTATGGCGCCGCGCTTCAATGCTTCGCTGCGAGACGTAGGTAAAGTTCGAGGATGGTCCCTTGCGTGAGGAAGCAGAAAGCGAGATCACAGGATTCACGAGCCAAGATTTTGCGATATGATTCATTGATCCACACTCTTAACGAGAAACCGAACCGACTGGTTGTGGTACATCGAAAGCCCCAGGTCGCGGGAGATGTGCGCAGCATTCACCTCGTGCAACAGCGGAGCGCGACCATTCCCTCGCGTTGCCTTAGCAATGCGGTATCGCAGGCACCGCCAAGCGATGAGCTTTCACATGGTCACGTCGCTATGTGGCATTGTGCGTCAGGCACTCTCAGGTCAGTCACATGTACTTGGCTGAGAAGGTTTCTTGCGCGCAAATTATGTGGACACTATCCGCATAGTGAAGAGAAGCGACCGAGATGACCACATCATTCGAAAGACGTCGATAGAAGGACCTAGTTGAGCGCGCGCGAGGAGGAATTGTCGTACCCTTTTACCTTTGTCCGCCTGGGACATTGTGGGGTGGGCTTGCTTACACTGTTGCTGGCTTTGTTGATCCGCGCATAATTTTCGTTCACTTTCAAAGGACACCAAACGCGCAAGATGTATTTCTACACTGTGCGATCTAGATGTCAAAGCGCCCTCCTCACGCCCCAGAACGACCTTTCACGCGTAGCCTTACAATGGCCGCGCCCCGTCCTCCTACTTATTGCGCCCCGTCTCCCACTGCAATCATGTCTTCCCAATCCAGACGCGCGTCAACTCTCTACCAGTGCACCATTCCCACCCCGCAAAGCAAGGTTTTCGCTCCACCCTCTGCAGCCCGACTCAACAACTCTACACGCGACCCCATCCAATTGCTCTTGGAACCTATCTGTGCTTTCGATACAACTACTCCACCACCTGGCTCGATCCAACACACCAATACGCAACTGCCTCATCCCGAAATGTCAAAGCAGCCCGCCGGCTCGAAGCTCGGGCAGAGTGTGACTCCCAAAACACCGAGGAAAGCGAAGAAGGCTGTTAGTTTTGAAGCGGCGTCTGCGAGTGCGAACGACGAATCCAGTGCCTCTGATGCTGCCGCGCCCGTCGAAGAGCAGGAAGGAGGACCTCCAGATGAGGACGAGTCGGAATCAGAAGAGGCCGCTCCTACCCCGAAACCCAGGAAGGGCGCAAAAGCCGCTACCCCGAAGAAGCCCAGGAAGACCGCAGCACCCAAGGAACCCGCCGCCACGGAGCCAAAGGCCAAGCCAAAAAAGCCGCCCGTCGGAGAAGGCTTCGATTCTTACACCCATAGTATTGTCATTCCTCCGACGGACCAATGGAGCAAGTTCTGGGGTGCAAAGCCTGTGTCAGGTGATCCTCGGCCCAGTCCCAAGCAGCCTTCTGCCCGCGAGAGCATGGGTCAGACAGAGCCTCCCATGTGGGAGAATCGTGGCTTCCGGTACAAGCGCGGTTCGCGCGACACAAAGCACAATTTCCAGGTTGAGCCGGACAACATTGATCAGCTCCCTCAGGATAAGAACCAAGAAGACTTACTTGCCATCCCACTCATGGACATGCGGTTGAAGGATAAGAACGAACCTACATCCCACAAGAGAGAGCCGGTCATCTACTGCTATAACAAGGTACCAAAAGACTGGAATGACAAGCAAACCGTCAAGGCTCTTAACGACCGCCGTTACCAGGGTATTGATCGCGTGACCATTGATCCACCGTGGTCGGAAATCGAGCGAGAATATCTGGCTTCCCTCATGCGGGACAATCCCGACGCATCCATTTGGGAGTTGACTGAGCTCCACAACGATCGCTTCAAGGGCAAGGACTTCAGGGAAGCCACTCCTTTCGGGAAACTCTCTGATGGTCGGACAGTAGAGAGCACTCGCTACCAGTACACATCGTACAAACCATGCTACGATCGTGGCGAAGACCCACCGAATGTAAGATGGCGCGGCGACCCTTCGCCTGAAGCCAAGGCACTCGAAGCGTCGGGGCGCTTGGTGGCCGCCTTTGGGAAGCCGGACAAGGCTCTACTAAAGGAGTACGACAACACCCACGACGGCAACGATGGCGACGACGAGGGTGGTAAGCCTAAGAAGCCAGCCAAGAAGAAGCCGTTGAACAAGAAGAAGTCACAGGCTGCCGTGGAGGAATCGGAAAGTGAAGATGGGTTCGGTAGCCCTCTGGTACGCAAGCGCCGTGGTTCGGAAGACTCTCAAGACCAAGAGCGGTCTGCTAAGAAGTCGAAGACCGAAAAGTTTCCTCCATATGCTGAGCAGCCCGCGCTTGACGAGGAAGAAGAGGATCTCCTAGTCCTGGCCGGCGCCTACGAGGATAACGATGGTGATGAATCTTCATCGGTGATATTTGAAGACGACGATGCTGAGCAAGACGAAGAGATGGGGGAGGAAGACTATGACGACGCCGAACAGCAGATGGTCTCAGCCGCGCTCGAAGACTCCGCAGCTGAGGCTGCTCAAGGTCGTCTAATCGAACAAACTGCAGTCGAGCAGACTACGATAATTGAAGAGACGCATGCTACTCGTCAGATCGTGGTTGACGAGAACTATAGCGACGAGGAAGAGGCAGAGTAGGTGGAAGGTTCCATGGAGACATCAAGTCGCTCAGCGCAGCAACCGCCTTCCACGGGCATATACAGACGGTGGCCTATGGGTACTGAGCTGGTCTTTGTATTTTTGTAATGTTATATAAGTGCGCATCAGATGGCGCAGTGTCATTCGGGGTTGGCCGTTATGTGTAGTCGTTGATCTCCTCGTGGATTAGTACTAATGCGATTTTGGTTTCTGCTTGTTCCAACATTCAATAACTAACAAACCCGCAATTGTTGCTGTTCTGCTTGTTCCGCTTCCGCGATTTCTTTTTTTCAGTGTTAGATGGTCGTCGCGCGAGGTACGCATCTTCTTCTAGCGCCCGCCACAACATGCTAACGGCTTCCACTCCGCGCTTAGCTGATTGGTCAGTCTTCGGACAAAATCCGGGTGCGTGATGCAACGCGCAGCGCTCAACAGCTGGTTACACTCCGCGACTAGTGACACTCCGGAGTCGTCCACACTCCGCAACTTTGTACAAAAGGAAGATACCTCGATCGATTAACATGCATCATCAGCCTGCACTGAAATATATTCCTCGAACTCAATCATCTTTATTTTCACCGTCCTGATCATGGCTTCTTCATTCCTAGTCGTCGGCGCCACAGGCAACACTGGCCGCAGTGTTGTTGAAACCCTCTCGAACCTCATCAAGTCCAGCAAGACATTCTCCAACTATCGCATCCTCGCCGTCACACGATCTGCAAACAGCTCCTCGGCAAAGGCACTCGCCAAATTTCCTCATGTCGAGATTATCGAATACACCTGGGTCGAGATCACCGCGGAGTGGCTACGCGAACACAATGTCGCCCGCGCATTCATAGCTTCACACAACGAGCCCAACCAATTCGCCGAAGAATCGACATTCCACCTTGCAGCCCGTGACGCTGGCGTCAAGTACGTTGTGCGCATCTCCACCACAGCCGCGAATATGAAGCCAGACTGCCCTGCCTACTACCCACGTACGCACTGGGCCATCGAGGCCATGCTTGACTCGCCAGCCTACGCAAATATGCACTGGACATCACTGCAGCCGAATGTGTTCACGACTTTCTGGCTTATGCCCGCTGCTGAGCTGATCAAGGCCGTTCGCAACGGCGGAAAACAACACACATTGCGCACGATGGCGAGCGCCGATGGGCCGGTCGGCGTTATCGATCCTCATGACGTTGGTGTCTTTGCCGCTCATCTGCTACTCCAGGAAGACACCTCTGCGCACAACAAGCGCAGGTATGTCCTCAATGGCCCAGAGGACATCACCGGCGATGAAGTTGTAGCGATGGTCGAGAAGCACATCGGCACCAAGGTTGAGGATGTCAAGTTCAAGGATCTCTCTTTCGTAGACGACATGGTCGCTGCGTCGAACCAGGCAAAGAACGTGATAGGTTCTATCAAGCGTGCTCCGCAATCGGCGTGGAATGGCGAGGCGAAGGCGGAAACGACAAGCAAGGAGGTACTGGAGATTGCAGCGCCGAAAAGGACGCCTGCTGATGTTATGGCGATGCTGTTGCAGTAAAAGATGTGGCAATTAGACTCCAATGAATTAGCACTACTACACTAGTTCAAAACGCTCTCCGCATATCGATCATAGTTGTTGATCACCCTGCAACTTCTCGTAATGCTCGTGACACGCAGTTACTCGCTTGCTTTTCCACCAGTCAAAAGCACCACATGACACTCTGAAGATGCCCCAAACGGTAATGAAGTTGGCTTGTCGTACGACCCTGGACAGTACCCAGAGGTTCAAGTAGACGCCCCATATAGTCTTTGTACTGAAGAAGACATTGAAGTTTCCGATCATTTGCATGACCAGGCGACCGCTCGCAGGGGTCGGATTCACCGTGCTGTTGATCGCGTAATTAAAGCATCCGCCGACTAAGTGAAAGGGTAGGCTGTCGAGGAGGAGCAGACGTAGGATGTAGTACACCGTTGATGCGAAGGATTCCTCCAATTCCTGATTGTTTCTTTCATCGACAGATCCCAGATGCCAGTATACACTTTGATGTCTCGAGACATTAAACGTACGATCGGAGTCAGCGATCCAAGAACGCCACGAGGATTTGTCCGATTTCTTGAAGCTTTTGGTAGCGTAGTATTGTCGGTGGTATTCCAGCTCCGAAAGGACAAAGAAGGCAAGCGCAAAGTGTACAGCGCGGTGCTGAAGTCCAGTCTCTTCGAAGTTTGGTTCGGCAGTCTTGCCAATAGCCGTCGCAGCTTTGTCGAGGTACAAGAGTATGACTGTAGTGATTACGCAGTATGTCTGGGACGCAGTCATACCGGGTGGGCCGAATCGTGTTCCGAAAGCGACAACAAGGCCGATGTATGGCGCGCTACCCCATATCATGACTGTGGGAGTAGACGTCTGCGTGATGAGGCTGGAAAGGTAGACTGCAAACATGCAAAGCGAGACTTGCACGGCGTAGCGACTGGCTGAGACGCACTTCCATCTGCGGTCTGCCATGGCTCTGGTAAGTGAAGGCATGGATAAGAGGTTGTCGTACAACTATGTTGCCCGTAATGAAATTTGCGTTTAAGCGATATATTTTTGGGGGGACGTGGGAGAAAACGTCGGAAAAGATGGAGGCTTAAGAAGAATTTGGCGGTACCATGGTAACTTCGCCCCACAGTGCCACACACTGAAGCAGACCCTTGCGAAAAAAAAAGCCCTGGATGTCTCCTTAAGCTCTTCGTATATTGGTTGCGTCTGAAATGCGATGGCTGTGGGTGGCTCGCTAGGGGCTACTACCTACGAGTCATCGTTAGCATTGCAACTCTTGGTACTCCAATGAAGCAGCCTGAATTCCAAAATTCCGCATCTTCGACTCTCTATAAATGTAGTGCTGGCCCCATTTTCGGTCAGACTGTGCAGCCATGGCTTCCTTACTCACCCTGCCCCGAGAGCTTCGCGATGAGATCGTCGATCTCCTGCTACTTACGCACAACCCGCAGCCGGCGGATGTATCCGAATCCGACGTTTACGATATATATCATCGATCTTCGCCCACCGTCTTTCCTCGCCCCGTAAAGCACCACGCTGCTGGCCTCTGTCAGGCCTCACGTCAACTTCGTACCGAGGTGCTTCAGCGCTCATCTTCGCTTCAACTGGGGTTACGATATGCCCTCCGGATAATTATTCATAGACCTGAAACTCGTGAACGTGGTTTATTTCTGGAGCCTCGCCTGCGATGGATTGACACACCCGTTGCCGATGCGAATAACCTCGACAAGTTCGATATCTCATTTGAGTTGAACGACTTGTTGGCCTGGGGATGGGTCCAGACTTCCAGGGAGTTTGGGACAGTTGGTAGACTATTGAATGATGCTCTTTGCGCAGTCATGTACAGGTATGGACGCGCCGGCCGCAATGCAACGATCAACAAAGTCAATATCGAAGTCACCGTTAAAGAAAGCCAAGCCTTTGTGTCCCGTGGTGGAGGTCTCAAAGGCGACAATGCTTTGGAAAAGTTGGAACGGATTCTTTCTGATGGCGGACAACAATTTGCGAACTTCTGCATAGCAATGGCTATCAAGTACAGCTGTCTCGGAGTTATAGATCTGGTGAGGAATACGGATACGGAACCTGTGACACTTCTTCCAAGTAGCAGGAACAAGTTCTGGCAACGAATTGGTAGCATTTCACTGCAGGCTGGCACTGCAGTTCGCAAGAAGACTTGGTACATCGACCGTAAACTCATAGATCGCATGGTAGATGTCGAAGACCCCAAGTACCATAAGTTCATTGCAGAGATACTGCTGCAGAGAGGTCGTAGTGGCCTGGATCGAGATTCGATGCTCGCGAACGATCACTACGAGGATCCTGAAACAGTCGTCCTATCCGGGAGTCGTGATCGGAATAATCATCGACACGCGATTGGTGTTCGCATACACAAGACTAAGCAAGGCTGGAGCGATGCGCAACCGTTGTGTATCGTGGCTTGGAAAGAAGCGGTGAGAGGAGAATGTTTTCGAGAGGAGTGGAAAGCTTGAAGGGGTACTAAAGATACGATTAAGGAGATCGGGATGGCAAAGAAGCGAAAATGGAGAGGCGGCGGGAACGACATCTCGGGGCTGCGCTGGTGCTGTTGGCGGGATCGGAGTTGCTGTCGCGTCGCGGACGCCCCGGAAACATTGAATACATAGTGATGATGTCATAGCGTGCTGCAAACTTGTCCTCATTTCCTCTCCATCCTTCGCCCACGCCCACCACCCGCGCATCTCATCATTCATCGCTCGCCGCCCTAACAAATCGCAGACAGGCCAAATTGCATATCCAACGGCCGACAACTCTGCCATATAGCGACAGGTGATCTTACGAGAAGGCTCGATTACAGACATTTCAATGACTCGTTTGATTCTTATACAGGACCTGCTACTAGGATCGCAAGCCGGTCGACACGGCGAACCGAAATCCCTCGTAAAACTTCAGATGCCCTGGGAGCGCCTCACTATATCCATCTCCACTGTACCACACGACAGACTTGATGCGCCGCCAATATCCTTACTGCCCGTTTTGTCCTTCACTTATATCAGCCCTCAATCCGAACTTTTTTTTTTATCGATGTGTATGAAGCGGCTTGGGGGCCTGTTCTGCCGACATCCGTGGATATACCATTCTTGATATGATGGCGCTTACTTTGAGCGCTTCTTGGATGACCGACCTGCTCCTTCTCCAGCCACCGCTGCAGCCTTCCGAGCGCGTTTTCCGCCTGCCTTCGCATCTTCTCCCTCTCCTTCTTCTCCTCCCTTGTTACCACCCTTCTGCTTCTTGGGCTCCGAAGCCGCAGCTAGCCTTTTTGCTGCGTTCCTTGCCGCGCGAGCAGCGGCTGTGATCTTCTTCTTCTCTGGATCATGGAGATGGCAACGCCAGCTCGCACGATCCTTCTCTTCAATATCTGTACTTCTTCGCTGACAGGCTGTTCCATCATTGTTGGTGCCTGTACATCTAGCGCGGACCTGACCCTGCGCGAAGCCTCCAGGCTCTGATTGCTCTTCCTCATCGCTCGCTCCGGGGTTCATTTCGTCGCCCGCGGCAGATATGTTGTCCTCGTCCATCAGTTCCTGGTCCGATGTGTTCGCCTGGTCGTTGACAGGTCCGGATTTGGTCACAGGGTGGGCGCTACCGTCGGTGTCGACGTCTCGTGCGTTTTCGGGTTTTGTAGTATCTCCGATGAACTCGGGAAACTGCTCGCGAGCAGCGTCTTCGAGGAATGACCAAAGCGTGGGGTACAACTTTGGGTTGTATATGTATGTATCGAAGCCAATTCGCTCGCGTATTTCGCGGTACTCCCGAAGCATGACCGGTGACACTTTAACGTCGTGGAACTTCTTATCGAAGGCAGCTTTTATCTTCGTCGCTTGAAGAGCCCACATGACCCATCCGGATAGCTCGTCGCGCTTGGCAGTGAAGGTGTTGATGCTTTTTACCACATCGCTGCCGGTCTCTTCTAGAGAGTCACTGGTTGCGGCGTCCGGTAGCGCGAAGTACTGACAGTATCCAACATACTGAGAAATGTCGTTGATTGAATGAAAGGGCGCGGCAGGTAGGTGCGCGACGGCAAGGAGTAGTTCGCTATGCAATTGGATGTATAGACATTCGTCCCTGCTCCAGTCTGCTAGCGCAACACGCGTGACCATGGGTTTATCGGAAGTGCTGCCATTGTCGGCCATGGCGCGCGATCTGTGATGTTTTACTCTGACTTCGAGGATTGAGAGCCAGTCGCAGGATGGTTTTGAGGCCAAATATGGACGTGGAGTTGGAGCCGTTAGTATGCGTATCGTCTCTCAAAACAGCGCGCTGTCCTGCAATGTAAGGGCGATGTTACAATACTTGCAGACAGGCGATAGACTGTATCTTCTATGGGGTACCCATCGCAGCAATGGACGTTGTGCGCTAGTCCAATCAAGGTATAGCGAAACATTTTTGATCAGATACAGCCATGATTCTGCGATATTCACTCCGCCAAATAGTTGCCTAGCTGCTACTGACACTCTTTCATGTCTTCCGACTACTCTGATTTACCCCTCCTCAGCAGCTCCCTCCTGTACACCTCCTGCATCTTCTCCCGCAGCTTCTCCCCGAGCAGTGTCGAATTGCACCGAAATGGCGTCCACAATGGCGAGGTCGTCTGGATTGTCACGACATTCCTTCTGTAAGACAGCATTCGATATGACCAACTTGTCCGACACCTCGATTTGTAAGCGATACCGCAAGGCCGCCACTCGATTCGCCAACGGAGCCTTGCTCATGTACTGCTGATACTCACCTCTGATTTGATCCTCTTCCAAACCCTGCTTCTTCCATTCACGTACGTGTGTATCGCGGACCAAATGGCAGTCTCCGTAATCCCGCCTCATCTCGCACAGTAGCTTCTTTACGTGACGCTTTTTGAGTTGCGCTTCATCGAACTGTCGCTGATACTCCGTTCTTACCTGATCATCAGTCCAGTTATCCTCGGTGAGCCAGTTTTTGATCATACCCTCCGTAATGTCGGGATGTTTGCCGATTTGCGTTTTGCACAGTCGATGTACGGTGCGAGCAAGCAGACGAAGTTTGTGGTATTCGTAGGCCTTTTCGTGATACTTTATGGTGATGCTCCATTGTGTGTCGCCGTTGTCGAGACATTCGCGTGTGGTCTCGGTTTTCCATTGTGGTAGGTTGCCGAGGTCCTGCCTTAGTTGGTTTGTTAGCTGCTCAGCTATGTCGCTCATGATTGTCGAATGAAGAGCTTCTGGCGGCTCAGACTCAGCTGCTATACGCCGCTTATAGACCTGCTCTTGTTTGCTGTGACTGATCATTCGCGGCTCTTCTGGCTGTCCATGTGTAACTATAGCCTGATCAGCCCACACATCACAAGCATTCATACCAGCTAGATGATGACTCCTTGAAAGACGAGAGCTAGTCACATTACGTCCCCATGGCTTTTGAAAATGTGGATTATGTTTCAACGGGAGACTTCAAACACATCCTAGCTAACAGTGGATAACCATGGCCCTTGCGCTTCCAATATCCCGGGCGTTATAGCGAACTCTTCTACTTGCGTCTCCGTCGTTTACATGCGGTATAACGACTCGCGATAGGCATGGCGCAAAGTCTCTCAAGGCTTCGGGGGTGCCTCCAATAATATCAGTACGTGAACTCTGCACTATGCGCACGGTTTCAGCTTACCATGAGTACTTTAGACCAAAGAACACCCTTCTGAACGACCGAGGATGGAGTGGGCTTGGGTTCCGAGACCGTCAGCGAGGATCGACCGCCAACAGTCAGCGGGGCAGCGGGTGGAGAGGGCGGAGGTGCGACGTAAGAGTCGTTGTGGTCGAAGACGTGGAGATCTTTTGGTTTTTCGATGCACGATGCAGGGCAATCGCAGCCAGGCAGTCTACATTGCAAATTAGTTGATGTTGCGACAAGCAATGTTGAAGTGAGTGTGGATTCTGGGTCACACGACGACAACAACGTGCTGGACGATAATGTTGTATTTTGACTTACTGGGTCAGTGACTTTCCAAGTAGAGCCTCTACTTCAACTTCGTGGTTGTGACCATGTGTGCGGTAGTCTTCCTTGCGTTGTTCGTATTCCTTGTTGAGGATGTAGTACCACTTGAACTTGGTGCAGCTCTTGATGCATCCTATGAGGTGCACATGAGGGATGTCTTTGATGTATGGGAACGCAAAGGTGAGAATACAGTCTACAGCGGTCCTCTGGCAAGGATATAGCTGAGAAAAGATAGAGTTATTTTTCCATGGTGTCATGCTTCGGTCCGGTCCATATGGGCTTGGGAAGAACAGCTCGAGGTGTCTGAGGTCTGGAACGCCTTGTAATATACTTCCGTGACTCCCGCTAACGGAGTGCTGGATAACCGGCTGCGTATCGATACCAAAGAACTCAAAGTAATGACTGAGGTTAAAGTGAAGATGGATGCGGCTGAGTAGTTTGTACGGAGATGTGGGGCTCGCATTGATAACACCCTGAAGATCAAAGTGGCTGGTGAAATGTTTTCGACTGCCTTGGTAACCTGCACGCAGAGCCTCGTCGCGAAGTCCCTTGTTCAAGAGGAGGACCGCGTAGTTCGGCGCATCTGATCGAGCAGCAGAATTTGGTTCCTCCATGCGATTTGGTACAACATGCTTACTAGACCCGAGGCAGACCATATCTTGGTTCGTGATATGATCGTAGTAGGTGCGGGGATATATATTCTCGCCCAGGGCATGCTGGAAGATGATAAGGCGGATCTCTATCGGTAGAGACATCAGGCGAAAGCTCTTGCCCCGCTTGCTCCACCACAACTGTTGAGCGAGTATGACACGAGGTATACCTCGATTGTCGGTACCATGAGTAATTTGAGCAGGAATTGGAAGCTCTAGAAGCCAACGCTTGAGCTCAGTCCAAGGCTCTCTGTCAGCTCCTTTGCCCTTCCACTTCTTGCGAATCTGCACGTTATCGGTAGTCAGCGTCGTAGTACCTCGAGCAACGCGGATCTCGGTAGCCATGGGAAACTCCTCGAACGATTGTGTGAAAGCATACAGCTTCACAGCGCCACCAGCGTGTCCAGGCCAGATGGGTAGAGTCTCGTCCAGGTTGTGTGGCCATATTCCTGCTGCTGCAAACAGCATGTGATCTTTGCTTAGTTCGCGGATGGCTTTAATGACCATGCGAATCAGCGCATCGTTCATCTGACGAGGTGGACCATTCAGTGTATAACGATAGTCGCGATGAGAGGTGAACTTCTTGTTCTCTGGGGGTGGGTACATCTTGACCGTGAAATTGCGGCTCGGGTCGCCATCTTGGGCGAGCTTCTTGAGTCGTGTCTGTAGCTCAGGCATGGCTTCGGGGTGACGATGGAGATGCGCTCGGATAGAAGACTCTTCGCTTGGTAAAGGGACTATGGTCTGGCTTCGTTATCTACCCACCGCAATGAGAAGAAGGGTTGGGAGTCGAATGGCGTGTCTGGACGTCCAGCGGTGATATACCGGTGTGAGAGTAGCAGCCCAAAGGTAGCTGTAAGCCTTTAAAGCACCTGCAAAGGGGAGAGGGAGGACAAGAAAGTACGATCGAGGAGTTGACTATTTGACAAGGGCAATATAAGCGCCAGGCATTAATTACGAGATGGCGTATATACGAAAGACCGCACTGACCTCCGTGGTCACAATGAAGGTAACGAGCGGCCTAAAGGTACTCCAGGTACGGACAAGCACTACACTACATTAGTGGTCTAGCCGATAAGATAGCGTTCTTCGGGGAAGCATATCGCAGCATGTGATGGTCGACACAATGAAAGCACGCTGCGTTGGAAGTTCCGAGTCTTTGTGATGGTCGACATCGAGACTCGGTTGTGATTGACTGTTCGCACAACCCTCCTCTTTATGATTAAGATCACTATATAGAGTTACCTGACCGCGTTTTGTTGCCCTGCTCTGCATCAACATTCCACCGTAATACTACGGGACGTTAGCCCCGCTGGTACTGGAATGAAAGACTTCAAAGCAATGCAGTATGGAGTCACTAGTATTGCCGAACTTGATGATGTAGCACATGCTCGCAATACCCAGCCAATCGAATGCGATTCTAGCGTGTCCCCAGAAGAAGAACACTGACGTGCTTAAAGCCACCTCCTGAACCACCGGTCGTCGCGCGAACCAGGTTGAGGCGCATATACGACGCAGGGCGTCCATCGCAGCAGAATCGTTAACGGGTGGATATTCCCTGCTGACGCTGGTCACCTCGGCACCACGCCACTGATATAGCACATGACGTTGTATAACAGGATATCCGAATCGGGTAAAGCCATTTTCCTTGCATACGAATTGGCATATGGCATCAAGTGAATCTTGAACTACTTGATCGTCTTCATATTGCAGCCACACGAGCACGAGAACGGCGCTTGAGTAAATGAAGACCGTACGTTGCACCTGCATGGTCCTCTCCTCGTTATCGGCCTGATTTATGCAGAGCTCGTCGGCCCAAAGCGTCCTCGTAGTATCGGCGCATCGGAAGCGCTGCAAAGCCTCGAACAGACTGCGGGTGGTGCTAATGACATGTCCGTTGCAAACGACAGTTTTGCAATCGTTGAGGTCACCCCAAGCATAGGAGATGGCTTCATAGCGAGTGTCGTCGTCGTCTACGTGGACGGTCCTCAAAGAGCAAGTCACAGGCTCGTCCCAGGTGCCGGGAGCCAAGTCGAGGACTCGAATGGTTCGATCTCGAGATAATGGGTCGTATTGAAGAGCTTCGTGTATTGTGTGAGGGTTCGGATGCGTCGTCTCAGCCTGGCCGGTATGTTCAGAAAGAATAGAATGCGCCTTTGACTCCGACTGCGGTCTGGTTCTAGGTTGGGCTTGGCCATTATGTTCGTGTTTCCTGAATCTTGACAGGCGTAGTTTTGTGCCAAGGTCGTAACTCTGCGCGCGCATGCGGTCGAGTAAGCGCTCCATGATAAAGGATCTCGGGGTTTGGAAACCTTGATGCTGCACGTAACAGGTTGGAGACAACCTATGTGGTACCGTAAAGTCAAGCTGATCGATCAGGCGTGCTGCGCCACCAAAACCCCGCACTCATCCAGATTCATTGGCTCGCTGAGAGACCCTCATATGGGAAGGAACCCCGAAGTCATATCAAGGCACCGCTATTCAGCATGACCTCCTCCTTCCTCCGTCGCGCCTCAAGCTTCTTTTCCCTCTGCGCAAGGTATGCCTCCTTCGCAAGCCTCCGCTCCTCTTTCTTGACTTTGTATTCCGCCTGCAGTCGCTCATTGTCCTGTTCTTTCTTCTTTTCTGCCTTGATAGCATGCTTGATCTTCTTGTGTTCGGCCGATGTGATACGCCATGGTCGCGACAAGACTGCCTGCTTGAACGCAGCGGTCTCGGCCCAGGCTTGTGCTTCTTCGTTGGTCGTTTTGACAACAGAAATGCGCTGCAGGTCCAGTTGCTTTACGCCTCTGAACTCCGATATGAGGCATTTGGCCTTGACGACTGTGCCGATGTCTAGGGCTTCGCCGTCCACGACGACGTCGAAGATGCCGAATCGGCTCACGATGTTCAGGTTCTTGATCTTCGTGTCTGAGGACGTATCGACGGGGTTCTTCTCAGCGGGAGGTAATCGTACGATCTTGAGTTCGATGGTCGCGCCGCTTCCGTCGTCAATGGTGAGAGCCGTGTATTTGAGGTTGATGTCATCGATGGCCACTACGACGCCGACGATTCGGACATAACGGATAGGGTGATTGAGATGGAAATAAATGCGCTGGGCTGTTCATGTGTCAGCAATAGTCGTAGCACTCGTTAGAATGGCTGCTACCTTGGAAGTCCTTCTCAGACCGAAGAGCTTGCACATCTGCGGCAGTGAGCTTCACCCATATATTGTATGTAGGTGATGCTCTGAAACAATAGGCGGGGTATAGCCGATAGGGACGCGGTGGCGGATCCGTTGACATGTCATATTGTGTTGCTGGTGCACAAGGTGGGATGAGAACAAAGGAACGCGACGCGTCTCATCGCCACCGCTCTACGGTGTCACGTGGCTAGGAATGCCAAGCCAGCTAACCCAATTCGACCGCATGATCGGAAGATCGGCGCTTTGCGTTCACTATCTGCATGCACCTCACCACGCGATGCCATCCGATGCAGCCGCTCCCAAGAACTGTGGCTTGATCGCATTGCAGGGAACAATCAAGGCTTTCACTCTAGCAAACTGTATCTCTAACCCTCCGCCCCGCTGCCAGCAAATGCATCGTATACAGGATGGGCAGCAAGCATGCTACCAGGTCCACCCGGCCACCTGTAGCCCCATCACACCTCAACACCGCCGTTTTGCCATCATGCCCGACAATGGTCTATCGCAAAAAGCAGCCAAGTGGGACCACTTTACCGCGAACTAGACCTCGGTGCCGTCGAGGCTACCAATAGTGCGACTCCCCGCTAAGCCGGCATGAAGCTGTCCATGACGAGCTAGCCCAACCTGCAGCAAGCTTGGAGCTATTCCCAGCTCTCGAGTGAGAGCTTCCAAGGTATTCCGGTCAGACTTAAGGGCAGGGTAGCAGCCCGGTATGCGCCCGACGACTGCTGATTTTGATCTCTCATCTTTTCGAGGCTGTGCCTTTTCGTCGCATACTAACCCCGCAGCATTTTCTTCGCTTTCTAGACATTCGTTGTCGCAGACTTTCGTTCCTTCCGGCTTCTCTCTCTGACAGCCTCGGCGACTTTCAACGCGATGAGATCATTTGCGCCATGGAGCCTCGTCGCTGCGACATTGACATTATGTGTCGCGGAACCGATCGCAAAGCCTGAAGCTATACCACAGCAGATATCGAACAATGCGCCCTTCTCCGGCGCCGTGTACATTGTAAACCCAGACGGCCAGCAAGTCGTAGCGCAAGACGCAAATTGGTGTCCTTCGTCAGCTTCAGTAAGCTGCAGCAATGTTAACCAACCGAGTTGGTGAGTAGGACTTTTGAGAAATGGCATGGATTGTGCTGATCAAACACAGGTGCTGTCCATCAGGCTACACATGCGCAGTTCCTGGCAACTCGAACGGACTGATCGGCTGCTGCCCAAGCGGAAACCAATGCGGAGGCGCAGTAAACGTCGCACAAGTCACGACCGTAACCGTATACCCCCAGCAGCAAACAGCTGTCGTGTACGCTCAACCACCTCCTCAAACGACCGTATACCACAACCCGGACCAGGTACAAGGCGGCTTCTGCGCTACAATCACAATGGATGGTCCCGATCTACCAAGAGCGGAGCAAGGAGGATGCGGCACAATCTTGATTGTTGCGGGAGCACCGAGTTTGCAAGTACTGGGCGTAGGTGCTGGCGCAGTTGCGCTGTTCCTGCATATAGCGCTCGGAAGGATGTTCAACGGCGCGTTATGAGAGACGATGGATGTTGTAATGATTTCACGAATTACGAGTTTACGCAGTACGATATTGTACGCGGCGCTAGATTACTCGATACATAACGATAAAACTACTGATTTCCCCTCTTCGCATCCTCCTCGTCGTTCTTTGGTACACCGACGAACTTGGGTACGGTGACAGCGTTCAAATGACGGAAAGCCTGTACAGGTCGTTAGCATGCTACTCAGATTGAACAAGACATGTGTGTAACTTACGTTAGCAATACTGCTATCCGGCAACTTGCCATCCCACTTATCCTCAACCTTCTTAATCTTGCCCTGCTCATCCAAATGAATAGCAACAACACTCTGAATCAACTGCTCCTTGTTCAATCCCTTGATCACATATCTCGTCCTCAAATCCATAAGAATCGGGTTCCCGGCGTCTTTGACCTGGTGGTTGAGCCTCTCAATCTCGCTAAACGCACTCTGCAGTCCGTACCATTGCGCGGAGTACTTCTCACGTCCCTCGGCGATGGTGATGGGGTCCGTGAAGGTGGCGTCGTCGCGCCAGAGTTGCAGTTTGGGGAGCGAGGGGCGGCCCGCGAAGAGGTCGAGGACGGAGCCTACGATGGTGTTTTGTTGCTCTGAGAGAGTGACGCCGGGGGCGGTTTGGACGTTTTTGGTCTCGATTTTGAGGTTTGAGGGGTTTGTCGACATTTTGGCGGTTGTGATGCGGGATACCTGGGATGAGAAAGGTTGTTTGCTGAAAGTACGCAGTGTTTGGTTGTAGGTTTGTGTAGCAAATGGGCGGAGGTAAGATGTCATTGTAAGAAAGTCTTGAGAGAGGGTATTAGATGGACGGGTTATTATAGGTAATGTATTCGGTGGCTATGTACTTGCCCACGAGGCGTTTTGTTATTCTAGACTTTATCCAATTGCATGATTTCGGCACGCGTCATCATGAGAAAGGTGGTACAAAACGGTCAGGGTTACGCAATTCGTGTGGTGATCGATGGAGGGGATGGCATTTTGGTCGATGCGAATAAGTCATGACGCAATGGTGGTCCTAGGTGAGATTCGCGGGCGATCCCTTCGCGCGTCGGGGGTCGAGGTACGCGAGCCCTTACCTTACCTAGGTAGCGGGGTAGGGGCTGGGTTGTCCCGAGAGCCGGTTGTGAACGTAGACGTAGATGTTGAACTAGATTTATATTCTGCTTGATAGTCAAGAACCATTTCAGCAGAGGAGATGGCTGGTGTTGCGGGCTGCTTGGCACAATCCGAATCGGGTAATTTGTCGAAAACCGTCGATTGCTAGTGCCTGGACTATTACCACGAGCCGTCTGAACTTCCTACCAACCTCGAAATCGTCTATGCCCCCTCTAAGTGCGCCATCAGTAAGGCCAACATGCGTACATATCAGGTAGTAGAGGGTACAACTCAGCAGAAGTTCCTGGGGTTGGATTTACTCTCTATCCCGAACCGAGTTTGTGGTCTTCAAGGCGTCAAGAACAGCCAAAGTCGCCTAGCCTATCACATCAAAGGTTTCTCATAGATGAGGACCTCATGCGATATCTAGATGGGCCTTAACTTCGCCCGTCTGTATACTAAAGCTGCTCCGTGCTTGCCACCGGGATGCATACTTCGGGTCATTGTTGACAGGGGTCTTCAGCCGCACCTTCCAAGAGATGGGAACCTTTCGTGCCAATAACATTTGGCCCGACAGCTGGTGGGACACTTCGCGAAAGGTAGTCTTTCTATGGAAAAACATCTGTGACGGGCGACTACCCAAGTGCGCAAAGTCGGTGAGAATGGTATAGGTTGGTGACCTCGGGAGGAACGAAAACCGTCCCCCCAGCGTGCGCTTTCATCTTCGTTCATCTTGGATTCTATTGATCACATTTCTTGTCATCACAGCTATTTGTCCAACATTTCGCCGCCAGTTGCCTCTGTCGACCGGGAGATTCACCTCCATGTGGCGAAGCGAAATATGACGCTACTCCTCAGACGAGCACCAGTTATCGCTGGCAGTCCTTCGCCGGCGGGAATCATCGAGAATGGATATATGGCGGAACGAACACGGCAGCAGAATGGCAGGACTAGCGCATGGGAAACACCCATCACCTTGAGGTCACAATCATGGAGTGATCAGACTCCTGGGCAGAGCGCCCCGTTCGACGACGTGCCGATGAGCTCGACCAATGAAACAACTGCGGACCCCTCAAGACCAGAGCCGGTTACAAAACGAGAGAGTCGATTCGCCTCTCTGTTCATTGCACTGCTGGCCGTCAGCCCCATGGCTATTGAATATGATGCAGCTGATCAGCAGACTATAGAGGCAGCACAGGAGGCATCTGTAAGCGCGACACAACCGGAATCTCCCAAGAAGACAGCAGCTCCACCAGACAGGGGAATCAAGCGGTCAGAGATTCACAAGACCAGATGGAGGCAGTTCAAGTACGAAATGAAACTGAAGATGAGGATTACCGGCAGACGGAAGGCAAAGGATCGGTGGAAGTGGACGCAGGCGGAGGATGTAGAGCTGGAGGTTTTGAGATCAGAAGAGCGATACATCTATTCGGATATGGAGAGGCAGAACAGCAGCTAAAGTCAATGGAGTATAGACTGCGCCTTGAGCGCTCCTTTCCGTGCATGAGATTCTATACGTCTTCCATATCATTTCCAGATCGGATAGTTACTGTTCATGACCCGCAGTAGCAACACTCAATATTTTCTCTTCCAGCCCTGGAATATGAACGCACTCAATGCCGTGTTCCTCTAGCTTCTTCCGTCCCGCATTCTCGCCTACAAATTTCTCCGGCTCTTTGACGCCAAGATACACCTTCTTGATCTTCTGCTCTCCATCTTTCCCTCTCGTTCGAATGAGCCGATCCGCGCATGGAAGGTTACCACTAAGCCGAAGATTACAAGGCTCCATGGTAGTGTAGATGACGGTGTTTGATGGTAATGCTTCCCCAACTCTTTCCTCAGGCAAGCCGTGTGCTTGAGCAAGCTTCAAGAGACAACATTGCTCCGCATGGGTGTTTCCTTCGCATTCTAGAGTGTAGCCACGCGAAAGGATTTCCCCGGTATCTGCATCGACTAACAGGGCGCCAACACGGAAATTTGAAGGTTTCGGCGGTGACTCTTGGGCTTGATCAAGGGCCAGGCGCATGTATTGGAGGTGGTCGTTAGGATCTGGACCTGCGGCTGGAGGTACCGGGCCGTCCCATGTTCGCACGGGACCTGTGTCGTAGTCGACTTGCATGTTGGTGAGGGAGGAAAGTGAAGGTGATGTAATTGGCGTTCTGGCCGGTGGTAACTGGGGAAAAGTGGATCTGGCGCGCTAGCTCCGTTAAGTCCGGGCTCACGGTCGCGTCGCGTTCTCACGCAGGCGTCGACCGTCAGTAGTCACACAACCTCCATATCCATAACACAACACTACAACATGGCACGAAGACAGAGAAAAGAGCCGTCCCCCGAGGAATCTGCGGAGGATGACTTTGTCAACAACAATGAGAGCGAAGGCGAGAACGACATGGACGAAGAAGATGGTCCTCCCAGCATCGACCCGTATGAGGTTCTTGGACTCGAGACCGAAGCCACTGCCGACGATGTGAAGAAGGCATACCGCAAAATGGCGCTCAAATGCCACCCAGGTCAGTGCCCTTCCTACACATTGTATGTTGCATCGCTGAACTATGACCAGACAAGGCTGCACCCGACGAGAAGGAAGCCGCCAACAAGGCCTTCCAAGAGATCGCATTCGCCTACGCCGTACTCTCCGACGATCGCCGACGCAGGCGCTACGACCTTACTGGCAGCACAGCCGAGACAATGGAGGACGACGATGACTTTAACTGGCTGAAGTTCTACCGCGAGCAGTTCGAGAACGTCGTCAATGAGGAGGCTATCAACAACGTCGCGAACGAATACAAGGGCAGCGAGGAGGAGCGTCGCGATCTGGTCAAAGCGTTCAAGAAGGTCAAGGGCAACCTGAACAAGGTGTATGACCTGGTCATGCTGTCAGACATCCTCGAGGACGACGATCGTTTCAGAAAGATCCTAGACGAGGAGATCGAGAACGGTACAGTCAGCTCATACCCCGCGTACGAAGCCGAGACAGACGAGACGCGTCAAAAAGCCAAGGATGCTGAGAAGAAGAGACGTGAAGACTTCGACAAGAAGCAGGCCCAGAAAGAAGATTCGGGAGCTACAAACGGCAAGGCCAAAGCCAAGGCGAAGCCGAAAAGCAAGAAGAGCGGCACAGACGACATGGCAGGCCTAGCCGCTCTAATCCAACAGCGCCAGAAGTCACGAGCAGGCAACTTCTTCGATTCGCTAGAGGCCAAGTACGCGCCCAAGTCACGAGGCTCAAAGCGTTCGACACCCATGGAGGAGCCATCGGAAGAAGCTTTTGAAGCCAATCGAAAGAAGCAGAAGAAGAGTAGTGCTTCAAAAAAGAAGGCTAAGGATGAAAGTGAAGATGAGGAGATGGATCTCGACGCGGAGGAGGACATTGGTGATTCTGAGGATGAGGAAGAGGAAGTGCCGGCGCCAAAGAAGTCAAAAGCGAAACCTAAAGCACGCGCGACCCGGGCACGTGGGCGGGCTTAGCATTGTGGATGGAGTAATGAGTTGATAAGAGAGCTCTTGCATACGACGGAAAGAGGGTGGTGTTTTGGGTAATATACCACGAAAGTTTGCATAGTACAGGGTCGGGAGCTTTGAATACAGTCTGCTTCATCGGGGCACCGTTTGGTATACTCTTTGGCCCTCGCTAACTATATCAAAAGGCTCTTTCAGATCATTCCATGTCTTCGTACTCTCTTCATCATCTGAACTACGCGGCAGCAGAATGTCGTGATCCAGTGCAATCGCAAGCTAATGCCGTCTTTCCAGGCCCACGTTTGTCTCTTCATCCTCGTTCCCATCCCCAAGGCACTGTAGCGTCCGCTCTCTCACCTTGATAAGTGATCGTCACCTCTAGGTACCGAGAACACCGTTGACCAAACAGTTTAGCCCCTCTTTGAGGCCATTACGACGTCAAGGCTGCTTCACGTCTCGTCCCTTTGTGGGCACCCACCCTGGCTTGTCTCACTAGTCAACACTCACCCTCACATTCACCACGCGTTTCCACGCTTGACATCAGACTATTTCACCTCGCCTTTCTTGTTCAAACTGTCTCTCGCAAACAACACGCTCATCACGCCAACCTTTCACGCCCTCTACGCGTCTTACCAAGTTTCCCACCATTCTCTTTAACTACAGCACCATCGTGCCGAAAAGATGCCGGGTCTCACTATGTCTATCAACCCAAAGGCCCCTACAGCGAGGAAAGTGAGTTGAGCTTACATAGCATGAACAACCACAAGCAGGATACTAACGATGACAGAGCCCCATCACTCCCACACCAGGCCCCAAAGTCCCCGCGAAATCCCAGCAGCAGCGCAAAACATCCATTTCCCAAGCCGTTTCTAAGACACAGCAACAACGCAAGAACTCGAATGCGCAAAGCTCACCCAAGGTCCTTGTTCAGCAGCAGCGTAAAATCTCTGCTGTGAAGCCGACGGTCATGGTGGACAATAAAAGGAAGATCAAGGCCGAGGTGAGATGAACCGCCACCTCATTCAAGAAAAAAAACTGAACAGGTCTGCAGACTACGTTGACCTAAAACCTTGCCAAGTAGGGGACCCAACGTCAACGTAGGCTCCAGGCTGTTCAGTTTTTCCCTAGTTTGGCGTGCCGCCAGGGATGTTCTCAGGAGCGAGACTGACAATAATGTAGGGAATTTCACCGAAGATGGCTGATGTCCAGATCAAGTCCTTAGGAGCGGACAAGCGTACTGCTCAGGCAGAGACCAGAGACGAGTCCCTGCCGAAGAAGCAGAAGATCGAGGAGGTGAAGAACGAAGTACATGACACGGAATACCTAGGTGACTACATGCTGATATCATCCCAGATCTCCCATTACGCCGCATTCACACCGCCGGGAAAGTGCACTTCCACTACACTCACCACGCAACAGCCATCCGCGCCACTGTCTGCCACCACCCAATCAGCTCAGTCCTCTCAGCTGATGAAGAACCTCCTCCGCCACGTCCTCCAAACCCAGCCCACGCTACTCCCCTTCGTCCCCTCCACGCCCATAACATCCAGTCACATCGACAACATAGCGCACACGATGTGGCAAATCGCATTCAAACACGTCGTCATGCTCCAACGCGCCTGCCAGTACAGTGCCATGTTTTCGCCCCTCAAGTTGGCCGCGCTAGCGAAGTTGAACTTCTTGCCCAGCTGGTGGTTCTTCAGGGACTTGGTCGTTGGAGGGTTGCCGGAATTGATCAAGGGTGTGGATGGGAAGGGAGAAGAGAAGGGTTGTGGGGTGGTGATCGATGATAGGGAGATGCAGGGGGCTTGGAATGAGGCTGTTAAGTGGTGTGATAAAGTTATTGCGCGGAGGGAGCGCGTTGCTACGCCGCTGGTTACGGAGGAGGAGAGGGAGAAGTGGGAGGCTGTGAAGGTGGCGCAGGAGGAGGAGCTGATGCTGGATAGCAATATGGCGGACGATGGCGAGAGTGGAGAGTGAGGGGAGTGACTTTGACATGACGCTACTCCATAAAAGCCCAAGCGGTTCATGATGGAGTTACTGGGTACAGCGGCAGGCGTTTGATGATCGGAAAGATAAAACTTCATGGCAGCGAACAAGTTTTTGCATGAAGACAAGATGGCAAAGGGCACTCCAATCAGTAAGCCTTCATTGAGAGAGTTAGAATCTCTCAAACCCACGCGCATCTTTTACGCCCTATCCAACTAAAGCAACAAAACGTACGGATTAGAAGTCTACACTGCTTCAAGACTTCATGAACATCTATTCCACAACAATATGAATGCAGCACAGCTGCTCAATCTTCCCTAGTACGAGCTACTTACATGCCTTCATGCGTGCAGCAACGGCTGCGTCTCATCACCATCATCGCCTCCATATCCTGCCTTGCGTTTCCGCATCACTTCCCAAAGCAACCCCGCTTGTACGCCCGCAAACACCACATAACCAACAGCAAGCCAGCCCGAATAATGATACCACCCACCCCACCACCTCAAAAACCCATCGTACCAGTCCCACCGCGAAGGCACCTCAACGCTTAACCCCCATAATATGCCCAGAACGCCAAATACCACCACCTGCATCGCAAGCCCGAAACGACTCAGTGCATCCTTCTCTCCCTCGTTGTTCTCCGCGCGAAACGCTCTCGCCTGCCAAAAGAACGACGCAATACCCAAACCGATGACAATCCAGTTGATACAGAGGATGTGCGCGCCATGCCATGCCCATGCGAACATGAGGTGGTCGAACCAGTTAATGTCGTTGGCATAGAAGGCATCAACAAAAATGGGGAAGACTAGGATGAAGAAATATGTTGCGTAGGCTCTTATTGCGGAAGCTGTTGATACGTCGCGGTAGGAGGAGGGGTAGTGGAGATGTAGGATTGAGCTTTGCGGGCGGAAGTAGTCAGTATGTCTATCGTATCCAGGTATGAATGGAGAAATAGAGTTGATGAAAACGGCACTTACAAACACAGCCAATACAGCAGTACAATAACGGTCTGCGCGAGATCGATCCAATTCCCCACGGTAACGGGCTCTCGGTGAAAACCTTTGTCTTCTCGGATAGAATCTACGATGTAGAAGAAAGTGAAGGCGAATTGCTCCGTTGCTGAGATGAGGTTAAACAGCAGGTAATTTGTTGATATGCCCGAACTGTTCTTTCTGCTGATAGTGCGATAGAGCTGTGGTATGAAGGAGGCTAGAGTAGACATTAGGAAGACACTGGATACTGTTAGTATAGCATACCGAGTACTTACGGAATACATACATGCGAAGCCAGTTTGGTAAATTTAAGACCGGCATGTTGCGAAGCTCGAAAAGCGGCTTATGAGTGATTCCCGCAACACCCTAGAGATGCGAGTCAACTTACTGACAACCATCTTCTCAATCATTATCGTCTTATACAGATACGAAGCTGATGCCTAGCACACTTGAGACATCCAAATATGCAACGCTGATCGCGGGGGCGGCACAGTGCATTAGCGCTGCGCACCCCCTTGCTTGCCAGCAAAACCTCCGACCACAGCCTCAACCTCAATCCTTCTATATACCACATGGACCACGGAACGACTACAATCATGCCCCGGCCCATCTACCTCATCGTCTTCAACTCCCCCCTCTTCCCCGCGCACTGGGGTCTCTGGATTCCGCACCCCTCGTCTAGCGACCCTCAAACCGGAACGTACCTGAACGCAACCGGCGATGCAGCAAGCGGCTTCAGTATAGAATTCGAACGTAACTACGAAATTGGTGCTGATGGACGGCGGCATCAACTCATCTCTCTGGGTGACGTCGCAGACGAGCATGTCGTTGACGTAACGGGTGATGGGAAGTGGTCCGTTGATCAGATTGCGAGAGATCGTCTGGAGGAGGTTGTGTTGGGTGTAAAGCCGCCGGGACCGAGTTTGGTTGCTGCGGATAGTAAGGTGAGGCTTTTGCCGTATAGGTTGTTTATTGAGTGGCTGATTGACTGGATGTGGTAGGTACCGAGAAAGAAGGTGGAGATAAGGAATTGTCAGACTTGGATACGCGATGCGGTTGCAGCGTTGGTGGAAGCAGGAATCATGGACGAAGAGGCTTTGCGGATAGTAGAGAAAGCGCCGAAGAACTGAGGGGGAAACGTCGTTTCAATCATCTTCTACGCCTTTGTTCAACTTCTACTTCCCCAATACTCAGCTCCCACCAACAGCCTTTTCTCCTCACATGTCCAGAGAGAGACCTATGTTCTACACTATTCTCCACCAACCTACCAAATCTTCGGCACAAACATCGGCGTCTCCCTCTTCCACTTCTGATAATCCTTGCGATCCCCATACCTCTTATCATACTTATCCTCACTCAACGGCACCCCACTAACCTTGAGCAACAAAAAGCTCACAAAAGCCGGACTAGCCGCACACATACCCGCCACAAGCACCTGTCCCCCAACGCCCCCACTCAATCCCAACGCAGCCTGCGCAGGCTGCCTAACCAGCAACCCCGCCGCCGCAATCGCAATACCACTCCACAACGTCGCCTCGCCAAAGTAATTCGGATGCCGAGATTTGCTCCACAGGCCGTGTGTGAGGAACTCTTCAGAGTGTTTCTTTTGCTTTTTGCCTTGGACCCAGGTGTCTTTTTGGCGGTCGGCGACGACTTCGAAGGTAAGGCCGAAGACGAAGATGGCGAGGCCGAGGATGTCTGTTAGGTATGGTTTTGAGGATACGGCTTGCCCGAGGAGTGAAGTTGCGTAAGCGGAGCGTGGAACGGAGTTCACCAGGATAACGGGGAGAGTGCAGAGAGACACCCATGTTGCCTGAGCGAAGAAGGCGACGAGGAATTTGGGCGGGGAGGTCCGGATGGAGTCGAAACGCGAGTCTTTTCCTTCGTCGCTGGATATGCGTTTGTAGAGATATGAACCCACTATCAAATCATTGTCAGTACTTCGTTCATTCTTCGAGTTGCGGGTTAACAGGCGAACATACATCTCGTAGCCCAAATCCCCACCGCAGCGCTCAAAAGCGCCTGTCTCCACCACCACGTGCCCTGTCCCAGGCCCTGGGCGCTGAAATACTCGGTTATACCGCCGGTGATGGTGCCTGCGGCTCTGGCGCGCATGTAGGGCAGGACTAAGCTGAGCGCTGTGCAGGACAGGTATGTGAAGCTGCCGGAAAGATCATAGTACCGTTCCGTTTGCGCTGCGATGGAGGGAACGGCAACGGCAGCTTGAATACCGTACGCGAGCGCAACAGAAGGAACAAGGGTACGTAGAAGAGGGTTCTTGAACGCAGTCGCGCGAAGGAGAGTTTGCAGGAGCGTCATATTGCCGCAAAGCTTCGAAATCAGAAATGCTATTGAAGAAACTTCGGCGCACCCCAACATATAACCCTCAAATCGGAAACCGGGAGGATCTTCAGGTACTCTTTATGCAACCTCGCTATTCCAACCCAACAAACACACTCATCGGCGGTTCATCCGGCGCATACCGTTGTTGCAAAGCGCCTGGCGATCTAGACTCGTAGTCAGGATCGATGCCGTCATTTCTCGCTTACCCTCCACTTGCGACTGGGGTCCGACGGTAAGCTTCCGGATAGCGCGTAGGGCTCGGTGCATTCGGACGCCGGCGGGCTTCGCATTCAGGATACGAGATCTTGCTTACGTGCATAAGGATGCGTGTTGACGTACTGCATTGTAGTCTAGAATGTATGCAAATGTTGGATATGGGAATAGCGTAGGTATAATGGCAAAGATGTGAGCCCGAAGGCGTAACGATACATTTCGCAACCACTCGCGCCGCTCCAAAACACCATGCAAGCCGCGTACCTAACCCAGCACCCAGCCATGCAATCCCAACACCAACTCAATCCCCATAGACGCGTCAATGCAAAACACTCCAATACACAAATCCTAGTAACACAACAACAAATACCAGCAACAACACAGCGATACAATTGACACTACACGACAAACCCGAGAAGATGCCGACTCCCACTTTTCCGAAGACTCTATCTCCTGAACGCGGCTTCGACCTCCTTGGTGCCCCAATCAATCTCCACCTCCCCACTATATACATCTTGGTTGATAGTCGTCATGCGCTCTGATACCTTATTGTATGTTTTCTCGCATTCCTTGAGGACCTTGAAGACAAGGTCGCGGCTGATAGTCGGGTCGTCGGCGTCGCCAAAGTGCTTGTCGACGCGCTTCTTGAGGGCTTCAATGCCTTTGCGAAGTTCTTTGGCGTCGTGTGAGTGGACTAGTTTCTTGAAGACTGAGCGGGAGTGCGAGGAGCGTTGGGCGATGGCTTGGGCGCTTGCGCCGGGTTGGGAGAGGAGGGTTTCGGTTGATTCGATGAATTCCTGGATCATGTTAGATTGAGTGGCTTAGGATGAGGTTGTTTACTTACCAGAAGCTTGCCCAGTGGCCTCCGGATGACGGCGTCGACATACAGACTCATGTGCTCGCTGTATTCGTCTTGAGCCTTACCCTTCCAGAATTCTAGGACATTGACCGAGCGGGCATCAACCTCCTCCATGTAGTGGTTCATGTTCTCAATAAGCAGAATGTGGTAGTTGAGCGCCTCCTTGTCTTCGGGATCGCCCTGTCCTTGGGAAGCCATGACGGTGGGCGACTCCTTGGCAATGACCTTCAAGCTCTCGAACATGGCCTTGTTGATCCTTTGGTACGCTTCGTCAACCATGTCGCGAATTTCCAACTTGTCTCCGCCTTCTGAAGCAGGCGGCAACATGTTCTCGATGGCGACAGAGAAGTGTGGGAAGGTTTTCATGAAAGAGATGACTCCCTTGCGCTTCTTGATCTTGACCTTCGTATCTTCAATGGCCCGTATCTGCTCGTCCAAGAAGCGGCTGAACAGCCCCTGCAAACGTTCGTGTATCTTTCGCAGGTTCCTTGTCAAGAAGTCCTGGTCCGTCTCTGCGATATCGAGCAACTTCCGGTCGACAGCACAAAGAATGCCTACACCTTGCCTGAGAAGAGTCAGTGAGCGAGCGATGTATAACGTAAATTTGACTTACAGAGGATCAGCTTTGGTAGCCCAGTCCACAAGGCTCTGAATCTCAGAGGGCCAGAAAGAGAAGATCTCCTCCATGACACCAGTGACATGTTTTGCCATAGCTCGGTCCGCCTCGAACTGCTTGCGGATCCAGAGGTTGGGGCCACGACGCGCTTCAGGGGGCGCGGCTTGCACGGCCTCGGGGAAGTCAAGCGAGTCGGTTGAAGTAGCATGGAAGAATTCAGTAATGAAATTCTGCTCCGTCAATAGAACCGGACCGGTGTCTTCTAGGATCCTAGCGAAAACGTTGAATGCGTGGAATTTGCCATCTTGAGCCGCTGGCTTTGCCTTGCCATCTTTGTCCCCAGACGCTGATCTTAGACCACGAGCTAGGGTCTGACTTCGCTTAACGGTCAGCTTCCTTGCCGTACCTAATGTGGAGGTAGTTTCCGGCTCTTTCTCCTGTGCGGTAAAGAGCAGTTCTTGCTCCTCGCCAGTGGGCTTTCTTGCGAACCGTCTCCATGCCAAGATATTGTCGCGGACCTCTTGTTGATACACCTGCGCTGCTTGAGTCTGATACATGCGTAGTAGAGAGTCCCATGCTGCCCTGTCGATTTCTTTCGCGAACAGCATGATTGGGCTCAACATCCACAACTCGTTTCGACCTGCGTCATGCGCTTCTACATTCCTCTTCAGAGATGGCTCAGATCCCTGATCATCGAGTCTCGAAAGTGCGTCTTTCGTCGAAAGGAAGGCTGCGCCGAACGTGATTTCCATATGTTTCTTGAGCCTCTCGAGGAACATGGATCCCTCGTTGAGGTATCTATCTCGTTTCTCTTGCAGAGCTTGCATCGTTGCCAAGTCGCTATTACCAAATCCTGGCCCACTGCTGATGGTGCCTTGTCGAGCTCCGGCGACGAAAGAAGGGTCGATTGTAATGAGTGCCTTGTAAAGCAGAACCAAAGAAAACTCAATGTCCTTGAGTCCGTTGATCTTGCCTATAGGAGCGCGTCTCAATGACTCCAGCTGATCTGATGTGATCGAGATAGTATCGACTAGCTGCTGAAGTTCGTGCTGCAGTAGCCGCTGGTTCGCAGTCTGCACTTGCAGACCCTGGCTCTGTGCTTCAATGAAAGCGATATCATCGTTCAAGCTGCTCAGCTCAACGTTGTAGAGGGTTAACAGACCCTCAAGCTCGTCGCACTCAGCGATCGCGCGGTCCAACATGCGCTCGACAGCCTCTACGCGATCGTCCTTCTGCTCCAGGTGATTTAGCCAGCTCCCTGCCTCCACACGGGCAATTTCACGTTTGATGTCATTCTCCAGAGACTCAATATGCTTGGCGGACAGCTCGTTGTTTCCCCATCCCAGTTCAGTCAGCAGACTCTCAAATTCTAATCCCCGTTCGTCAATGATGTTCGGGTCTATACCAAGCTTGGATATGTTGACAATCTGTTGGTTGGACCGGCGCTTCTTTCGGCGCACCTCGGGCTCAGGCTCAATGTTCCTTGACGCTGCTTTTTCTGGGGGTGGCGGAGCAGGATGTTCTTCCACTTCTTGGACAGCGCCAGCCACAGTGCGATCACCTGGGCCAGAGACTGTAACAGACGGAACCACCTCGGTACTAACGCGCAGTCGCTCTTTAGATGACCTGTCTGGTATGGATTTGGAGGGCTCCTCGAGTTTCTGCTCAACTTCTTCTTGAGGGGTTTCTTTTGGTGTTTCTTTTGGTGTTGGCCGCTGGGGCACAAACACTGCGCTGACGCCGTCTGCTTCATCGGTTGTTTTCGTCTCTTTGTTGAAGAGCTTTGCAGCAGCTCCGCCAGCACGAGGCTTGAATGCGCCTGCCGCAGCTGCTGCCTTGCGGAACTTGGTCGCCGCATTATCGTTAAGCAGCGGCTTCTTGACCATCGGCCCAAGGCCAGGGCGTTCTTGATCCTCAGGCATTGAGTTGGTGCGTTCTAGCGGTTCTGGCTCAGGCGCTGTTGGTGGTGTTGCAGGCGCCGCTGCTTCCTCAGCTTGTGGTGCTGCTGGTATTGGCGCAGTCGGAATTTGTGGAAGGGGTGATGTGGGAGGAGGCGTAGGCTGTGGTGGTCGAGAAGGCAGTGGGTCTGCGGGAGGCGCGATGTTTTCCTGAGAAACGGGCTTCAGTCTCTCGGGTATCTCCTGAGGTCGTCTCCGCGGCGGTACTTCCAGTGGTGGAGCAGGCGAGCCTGAAGGCGTATGGAATGTTGAGCGTGGCTCTGCGCCTTGGCTATCGACACTGCGTTGCGACATCTGGGATGGACGGGGCTCCATTAGTGGCCTTCTTCTTTGAGGCGGTTCTTCTGGTGGCATGTCCTCGTTTCGTGTGAAGTTTGAACTGGTGTTGCTCTGAGCTGTACCCGGTCGACCAGCGCTTTGGGCTGTTCCAGGCCTGAGACCCCTGGGCGACGGATCTCTCCTAGGCGAGGGGTACCCGTTCTGTCTGCGTGGATCTGGTGGCGCAATACTTGGAGGCGCGCCGTCCAATGATGGTTCGTCAATGGATCTTTCCGACCGTTGCGATTGCGCATCCTCACGTGGCGGCCCGCGCCCTGGACTCAAGCTTGCTGGGAAGTTGCCTGAATCCGGTGTTCGTGGCCGACCAGCGAATTCAGAATTCGAAGATTGTGGGGTCAAATTGCGAGACGCGAACTGCGGTGGGATAGGGCTTTGTCCCTGGCCAGGACGAGGCCGCATACTATCACCGCTAGGCCGAGAGCGAATGCTTGGGTCCATTGACCGCTTTTGGCGAAGGTCGGGCATAGATGGCGCGACCGAAACTGAATTCGGCATGAATGGCGGAGGCCTACGGGCGTCATCTCCAGTGCTCGGTCTACCCAAGTCGTCTGGTCGTCCTGGTCTTCTAGGTGGCCCCCCTAGCTCTCCAGGAGGTCTCCGGAAGTTTGGATTTGGGCCAGGTGGAAGCGCTCTCCCGTCAGATATAGGCGGAGATTCGCCAGGTCTTCTAGGCGGTGGTCCAGGTGACTTCGGAGGCATTGGTCTTTGATCTGGTGGCCCGGGGCGCTTCTGGGACGGACTTTGACCACCCTGACCACTGGCTGCGGCAGCTCGGCCTTCTGGTGTCGCGAGATGCGGCTGTCCGTTGGTCAGACTGTTCAGCTCTGTCACGCTGAACCCTGTCAGGATAGGAAAGTCTCCTTTAGTGTACTTGTTGTAGATCTTAACCATACTTCCAATAAAGAACTCCTTCTCCTTTGCGGTGCCCGCTTCCCAGTAGTAAGGTTTGCCGATAGTCACAGTGAAGCCCTTTTCCCCTGCCCATAGCTTCCGCTGAGCCTCCTCTTCGCTGGTGGGATTGAGATGGGTGTAATTCTCGACAGCAGTGAGTTCCTCCATAGGCCATGATTTTCCAATGGAGAAGGAACCGTTGGCGTTCTCCCTGGCCTTGTGCAGCTTCACCCTGCCTGTGTTTCGCACTGATATCATGATGATGCGCGCCTTCTTGTTCGAGGGGGCCGAGCTCGGTGGTGGGGGGGACTGCGGGTAGCCGCCATCTTCTTGGACGCGAATGTGGGTAATGTAGGATTCCTGGACTTGGGTTTGTCAGTCGATGCTATAGCACGTAGAGGTGTATGCCAAGCATATATCCCAAGATGCGCGGGCACTGATGTAGACACGTACGCTGGCCTTGGTCATCCGTCTTGGAGAAGCAGCTTTCGGTGATTCTCTTCCGCTCGTCGTCGAATCGTTCTGCGCGCGACATGCCAGAGGGCGTGGAGCTGGAGGCAGAAGGCGCCCCCCTCGAGCTGCCAGGTGGGCGGCCGGCAGGAGCTCGAGGGTCCCCCGCCCCGTTGGTGTAGTTGCGTGGCCTCCCCTCCATTCTGCTGTGCGGCTATCTGTAAGGCCGATGGGGTAGTTGAAGGTGTGGGTGAATGATGCGCCGATTACTGCCGCCGGGCGCTAGCGAGAGGTCCTCCGAGAGCTGCCATGAATCGCGAAAGGTGGTAATGAGTCTTGCGATGGCCGGGCGATGCGACGTCGACGGGTGGAGCGGCGGTGAGGAGCAATCGGGGTGCTCAATGCGGTAGTCCCGGAACAAGTGCTGCCAAGTGCGCCGTTCGAGGGAAGAATGTGGGCGGCGAGTGAAGAGAGGCAATGGGTGGTGTGCGGAGAGGGACGTCTGGCGTCGTGTACTCCATATGAGACGGCAGGCGCGCGGGACAGGGATCACGTTTGGGGCCTAGCGCAGCCGGGGCGCTGAACCATTCCGCCTAACGTACTTTTTTTCTTGCGCGACGTCTGCTACCTTTCACGCCTGCACCACCACTCCACCGCCGCAATCCACGAAACACGACACGTACCGCGCAATGGCTACCGGGAAGGCTTCTAAGAAGTCTAGTGGCGACAAGAAGCAGAAGGCTGCATCGACAGAAATTCCCCAGCTTGAGCTGGTAAAGAAGTTCCTCAAGAAGAAGGGCGAGAAGGATGCTGTCACCAAAATCGACGAGGAGTTTGACCGATGGTGTGCGTCGCCCATGAGCGACAACGATTCTGAGGCTAGCGACGATGAGGAAAGCGCGTCCAGCAGCGACTCAAGCAGCGAGTCTGAGGCCGAGGCAAAGCCAAAGAAGGCCAAGAAGACTGCTGGAAAGAAGGCAGCTGCGAAGGACGATGCTTCCAGCTCATCGAGTTCCTCCGACTCTAGCTCCGACTCTTCCAGCTCCAGCTCAGATTCCGATTCCGAATCTGAGAAGGAAAGCGCGCCGGCGAAACCCAAAGCGAAGAAGGCCAAATCGGTGTCTTCCTCCTCCGCTTCCTCCTCCAGCGACTCGAGCGACTCCGATAGCAGCTCTGAAGAAGAGCCCGCCAACGTCCCGCTTCCTGACTCCGACTCGTCCGATGCCTCCAGCGACTCTTCGTCCAGCGACTCAGACAGCGATTCCTCGAGCGACAGCAGCTCCGACTCAGAAGCCGAGAAGAAGGAGGACAAGAAAGTGAAGAAGAGCAAGAAGGCCGCTTCAGTCTCATCATCGTCTGCTTCAAGCGACTCGGACTCTTCAGATTCTAGCGACTCCAGCGACTCCAGCGACTCTAGCTCCTCCGACAGCGACTCGGACGAAGAGCCAGCTAAGACGAAAAAGGCCAAGAAGAGCGGGAAGAAGGCTGCCACACCCTCGTCCTCAAGCGATTCTAGCTCCTCCGACAGCTCTTCGGACAGCTCCTCCGACTCCGACAGCGACGATGAGAAGAAACCAGCCGCGCTCGAGCGCAAGGCCTCTGGCAGCGACTCGTCTCAGACTCTGCCAGCAACATCCCCCGAGCCAAAGAACAACAAGCGCAAGGCCGGCTCTCCTTCACAAGACGCTCCCAAGTCAAAGCGAAGCCACGTCGAGAACCGATTCCAGCGCATCAAGCCCGACGTCGTAGTCGACCCTAACCTCGCAAGCAACGCCTACGTTTCCTACGACTACGCCGACCGCGCGCACGCCAAGTTGATCGTCACCAAGGGCAAGGGCTTCACCAAGGAGAAAAATAAGGGAAAGAGGGGCTCCTACAGGGGTGGCATGATTGACACCTCTGGCGGCAAGGGCTTCAAGTTTGAGGACTGAGCGTCACAACCGGATATAGATGGGAGACGATTCGCAAAGCATTTTCACGAGTAGAACGAGGATATGCGCCTTGGCGTGTAAGAGTACGGCGAACACGGAGTTATGTATACCAAAAGCAGCATAGCCTTAATTGGCGACACTAGTACGAGACTTTGGTCGACTGAGGGTCGGATTACTGTGTTGAAAGTTTGAGTTTATAGATTTGTACAGTTCTAATCGTACATTGCATATGCACATTTTTAGTTCATCCATATGTGCTAGTCCGTCTCAGTGTTCTTCATTTCATCCGAGAAGACTCCGGTTTCGTGTCGCGATGCCGGTGATCCTCTATTGCATGATCCATATCTTGTAGACTCTAGCAGCGCGTCATCCCTCCAGCCATCATGCCCTCCAATGTCTGAAATCGCACCTCGCACACTTCCATCTCACTCCTACCAATCGCCGTCCCCCATCCTCAAGCCTTCTCCCCACCCTCCTCCTCAAACTCCACCGGTAAATTCATACCCACCCTCCTCGCGCTCAATCTAACCCTCTCCTCTTCCGTCATACCCATGCCCGGATTATACCGCTCCAGCAGCGTTGAATGCATCCGTTGCGCCTGCACATATTGTATGAATTGCTCCGCCTGTTGTAATTGACTTGTCGCGTTGGCATTGGGGTTCGATTGCGAGAGTGTCGAGCGGATGCGCTGTTGCAGTTTTGAAGGTGCGGAGAGCTTTTGGTGTTGAGTGCGGGTTAATTGGGGGGTGGAGGGGAGTTCGCGGAGGAGGCGTCGGTAGATGGAGAGGATTTGGGGGGTCGCGGGTTGTGCCATTGTGGGTGGTGGAGGTGTTTAGATTGATTCAGGAGATTGAATGATCGGAAGGAGCCCTAGGGACCGTAGTACTCGAAATGTGGTAGTCTGTTGGTGATGTTGGACAAGTTCACCACACGGAAGTGCTGCGGCGAAAAGTGCGGAAGAGCTTGGACCAGTCGTGAACTTCACATCCACCACCACTGTTTCTCCGTCTTTTTGCACGAACGCAATGAACAACTTACCGCCAAGTTCACGATACGTATGCCGCAGTTGCATACAACGGCTGTCGCGCCCACCGTCTAAAACCGTCACGCGATCGCAAGTACGCCTACAGTCCACCGATGCATCTCAAGATGATGCGCCCAACGCGAGGTTACGGATACGGAAGCACTGGAATGGCGATGCGATAGCGAAGTTCAGGCCGACTGCGCCAACACGCAGTATACTGCATATGAGCAAGACGGAAAACAATCTGCGCGTAGAATTGACGGACGAGCAAAAACCATCTGCGGAGGATCTCGAACGAGTAGCGAATGAACCACGACCTCTTACGATGCGCGAGAGACGGCAACAAAACAGAGATGCACCCATGACCACCGCACAAATGCGAGCAATGCGCGAGAGTCGAAGACTTAAGAGAGAATCGGAGATGGAACAATTAAAAGAAGAAGGGAAAGAAATCGAACTAGCGCAAATGAACGCACCTCACAAACCTCTTATCAAAAAGCCGAAGAGTGTTGTCATTCGCAAATGGGAGACAAATTTCCCCTCTGGTCGTAAGAAATCGTTCGCAGACGAGCTTGTACCCTCTCCGCCATCAGCGCCCTTGGGCAGAAGACCAAAGCCAGAAACAACACTATATTCAGCGCCTGAGACACCAATCAGTTCACTCTCGCTCAATCTCAACAAATTGCAAGACTTCAATTGGTACTGGGATACCTTTCCGCCAACTGTCGCACAGAAAACGACTGCAAACCACTTCTTCACTACCCACGGCCGGAACGCAAAGTTACTAAGGAGCATAGCTCAATTCCGTCTCTTCCCCGAGTCCGATGTGCCGGAAGTGGCTTTTGTCGGTCGTTCCAACGTTGGCAAAAGCTCGCTGCTCAACGCCGTCGTAAACGCCGATATCAAAGCACTACTAGCGCGTACCTCGTCTACCCCAGGCTTCACCAAAACAATGAACCTCTACGGTCTCGGCGCCGGCAACGGCGTAACCATCAAGAAACAAGGTCAAGATCGCGAAAAGATCGTCGGCCTCGGTGGTCTAACCATTGTTGACATGCCCGGTTATGGCGAAGGTTCACTCGCATCCTGGGGTACGGAAATCATGAAGTACATCACCAACCGCAAGCAACTCCGCCGCGTCTTCCTCTTGATCGACGCCGAACACGGTATCAAAGATAAAGACCGCTCCCTGCTCGCCTCGCTGCGTTTGGCCGGTGTAAGTCACCAAGTCATTCTCTCCAAGCTAGACAAACTATACATCCCCGCAGCCAAGGAGATCAAACGCCACGATGGAAAAGTGCTGCGTCGCTTGTCCCCGAAAGGTAGCCCCGAAGAACTCAGAAAAGCGATGGAGAAGTTGAAGTACGATATCCAGCCGCCGGTCGGAGGCGGTGCGCTAGGAGAGATTCTAGGTGTGAGTGCGGAGACGCTGGTAGAAGGGAAGAGGTTGGGTGTTGATCACGTGCGGTTCGCTGTGTTGAAGGCTGCGGGGTTGGATCAGAAGTTTAGGAGGGAGAGGAAGATGCAAGAGGAGAGAGCTGACAAAAGGGCACTTGAGTCGGGCGATTTTGAATAAGTCACAGATAAACCCAATGCTCCGTTCTCCCAACACACACAAACTTTACAACCTCGCTCTCACACCCTTCCCTGGAATCTCCGGCAACCCGCCCTCCAAATCCCTCGGAATCAAATGTTCCACATCCCCCAAGTTGAGATACCGCGGATGGCACTCCTCCAACGACGTTATACCCAACAACCTCATCGTCGTTTCCAACTCATCTTTCATAATGTCGATAAAGTGCTCCACACCTTCTTGTCCATACGTCAGTGAATACAAAAACGGCCGACCCATTCCAACAGCTTTAGCGCCTAGACACAGCGCTTTTACTATGTCAGTTCCGCGTCGGACGCCGCAGTCAAGGTAGACTTCTAGGCTGGAGAAGACTTCGGGGGCGTGGCGTCGGATTTCGAGGAGGGTTAGCAGGGAGGGTGGGGAACTGGTGGTGTCTATTAGCAAACCACTCTATCATTCTGCGGATTTGGAAAGGGAAGGTAGGGTAGGACATACGTATCCAGATTCCTCCCTCCATGGTTCGTTATCACTATGCCATCTAGCCCGTGTTTCACGGCCAGCACCGCGTCTTCGACCGTCTGTACTCCTTTCGCTACGATAGGTAGTTTAGTCGCTTTGCGCAGCCAAGCGATGTCGTTCCAGTTAAACGTGTCGTCTATGTATGTGCCCATGGTGCGACCGAGGCCACCGCCTTTCTTGTCGTTTGTGGCTGCGGCGCCGCTGATGGCGGCTTTGGCGAAGGTCGCGGATTCGACTTTTACGCGCTCGTCGCCTTCTGTGATACGGGATTAGTATGGGTTGTATTAGGGAGGGATGAGACATACCTCGTTTCCCCTGCACAGGCCCGTCAATGGTGAACCACACGCCCTTAATCCCGTTCTTTTCCGCGTCTTTGAGAAGAGGTTCAGATGCTTTGCGGTCTTTGTTGACGTAGAGTTGGAAGAAGAAGGGTATGGAATCCTTTTTCACACTGCCCGTAATTTCTTGCATGGTAAACGACGCATTTGTTGAGATCTGGCAATTCGTGTTAGCACATCATCTTTCCCACCTTCCCGTCTCCCAGCTCTCACAGCGAACGGAGATATGAACATACACACTGTGCAACACCCCTCCCTTCACACCCCCTCGCCAACGCCCTCTCTCCCTCCGGATGCGCTAATCGCGCCATTGCCGCCGGACTAACAAAAAATGGCAATTCCACACTCTGACCTAACATCTTCGTTCTCGTATCAACATGCCGGATATTTCTCAATAGTCGCGGTCGAAACCAAATCCGATCAAACATGCTCTTGTTTGCATCTCGCGTCACCAGGTTTGTGGCGCCGCTTGAGTAAAAGGCCCATGCTTTCTTGCCGAGCACCTTTTCGGCGACGGCTTCGAAGTCGTAGCTATTTATCAAACTACTGAGCGGTGGTTTTGAGGCGATTGATAGGGCGGGCTGGGCGGATTCTGTTGGAGGAGGTTTGAGGAGGTCGTAGGAGGGTGTTGAGGACGAGACTTTGCCGATGCGTTTGCTTGGGGAGAGCGTTTTGGAGATGAGGATCGGTGAATGAACAGAGCTGTAGGTCAGAGAGGCGTCAAGGCCGGCGTGTTTAGTTATTACTAGAGGATGTTAGTAGTGGGTTCTTTGTAATGATGTTGTCCAGTAGAAGACGATGTTGACCCAGCAAGTCCCCATGCGATAGCAAGAAATTTGACTTCTTTTGCTTGACCAAAAAGATGACACCTTCTTGGATGTTTTCTGCTAGATGCAAGAAATCGCTCACTCTCATTCCCGCCAGGATGAATTGGTATGAACTCTGTTATGTCCCATACCACGTCATCTACGACTATCCAACAGTCGTGTTCACTGGCATGCTTCTTGATCTCTTCTACTGAAACAGATCTGTCTGCCATATTGTCAACCATCTTGTGATACGACGGATCGCAATGCTTGGGCCGTGCTAAAGCTGGAAGTAAGTCCAACACGATTGTAATGTTCGCGAGGCTGTCAATTGGCGCGGCAGCCACCTCGCTAGTCGATCTGCCGACGTGACTGCGGAGAAGTGGGCCCGGCGAAACTCCGATGGCTCGCAGGCAGCGACGAGCCTTTAGCAACCGCAACCGCGGCCGACACCACCATCACTATCAAGCATCTAATCATTACGGATACAATGAACCGAGAGGAGAAGGTGTCGCGAGCAACATGCCTGCATCACAACGGCGTACAGTCGGCCGAAGCACCGCTCCGATGGTTGCAGAGCGCGATCCGTATATGAGTAAAGTTTGTTTGGCAGAGCCGCATGCCATCTCACACTACCCCAGTTCATCAAAAGCACAATGCGCATTCTTATCACAGGGGCCGCCGGCTTCATCGGTCAACTCGTAGCGAAGAAGCTGCTTGACGATGAGAAAGCAGCACATTCACTCATCCTCACCGACATCATCGAACCACCCATTCCATCAGATGCGCGATCCTCAACACGAGCACAAGCCATCAAGGCGGACTTATGTACAGAAGCAGATGCTGTCGTTACTAAGGACATAGAGGCTGTCTATGTCTTCCACGGCATCATGTCCTCAGGCGCCGAAGCCGATTTCGAACTGGGCATGAAAGCAAACTTCGACGCGACCCGCGCACTACTCGAGTCTATCCGGAAAACGTGCCCAGGAGCGAGAGTAGTATACGCATCAAGTCAGGCAGTATACAACAACTCCGTCACATTACCCGTCACGGAATCTCAGATGCCGACGCCAGAGACTAGCTACGGCGCGGAGAAGATGATGTGCGAGTACCTCATCACCGAATACACACGACGCGGTTTTATCGACGGCATCTCACTTCGCTTCCCTACTGTCTCGGTGCGGCCTGGAAAGCCCACCGCCGCGGCGAGTTCGTTCATCAGCGGCATGATTCGCGAACCGATGAATGGCATCAAGTGTGTCATTCCACTAGAGGACAAGCAATGGCGACATTGGCTCTGCTCTCCCCGGATATTAGTCCAAAATCTCATCTACGCCGCTACAGACTTCGACATCAACCGCTTATCCAAGTTTGATCGCTGCCTCAACTTCCCTGGTATCGGCGTCTCAGTGCAGGATATGATGGACTCTCTTGCGAGGGTAGGAGGTAGCGATAAGCTTGAACTGCTTGAGATGAAGGACGAACCTACGTGCAAGAAGATTCTATACTCATGGCCTGCTGAGTTTGACAACACTAAGGCGCTGGACCTTGGGTTCGTGAGAGATACTGGGTTTGATCAAATTGTTCGGGATTATGTGGAGGCTTTCGCACCGAAACAAAATGTGAAGGGGACCGGGCAGGCGAGCCAGAAGATTGAGAGTGTGCAAGTCAATACTGTAGAAGTCGCAGCATAATATATCAATCTACGAATCATTTGAGAAATTATCAAAGCCGCCCTGCCGCCATTTCAACCAGCGCTCTCTTATGACATCCAGACCATTGGGTAGAAATGATTACGTCTGCAAAGATACATGCCTGAGGTTACCCATTCGCATTTCAATGGCCAGGTCACTATTATCTTACACAAACTATCTTGGTCTGTGTTGATACCCGTATCGTATGCAGTACAGCCTTACGCACTGTCGGTGACTGAATGCACATGCTGCCCGTCGGCACGTTCCATCACGACCCTGTTCGGCTATACATAAAGCACCGTGATCGGCGCATCCCCGGTCCTCCCCTCATCTCTCACCTAGGTCATTGCTAACTCGCTCAAAGACCGACACTTTAGCATGCAAGCGTCATTTCAGTAAGTCTCGGCCAGAATGCCGTGATCACCAGACTTGGCTGGCCATGACACCTGCTATGCATGTGCGACTTGCATGGACGACCTTACCCGGCCGGGAGACATAGCTAGATGCGGGAACCCCCGCATCTCATCCCACACTAAGCTAGCCAACACCAGCAGGTAAGACGACGACATGACTGTACGGGTCCAAGGCGGGAGTATAAGATGCAGTATACCCCAGATTCGTGGGGTAGCGCGTCAATCTGACCTCATCCTGAACCGTCACAACCACGAAGTCACATCCAAGCCATCAATATGGACGCCGAAAAGCACTCTCTGGAGAAGGATGTAGCGTGCGAATACATTGAAGCTACAAATGAATCTCGAAACTCCGTCCCCGAGATCCTGCGAAATCACACACCCGAGCAGCTCACCGCCCTCGAGAAGAAGCTCGTGCGGAAGATCGACTTCCGAGCTCTACCCATCTTGATCGTCCTCTTCTTGCTCAACGTCCTTGATCGGAATGCCATTGCCAACGCACGTCTCGGAGGTCTGGAAGCCACACTGGGTATCGACGATGTCGAGTACCAGACCGCAGTCATGGTGCTGTGGGCTGGTTACATCTCCATGATGATTCCATCGAACATGCTCCTCTCCATCTTCAAGCCTAGGCTGTATCTGCCAACAGTTGTCATCATTTGGGGTATCGTGTCTGGTGCTACAGGATTTGTTCAGAACCACGCTGGACTAGTCGCACTGAGATTCCTGGTCGGCGTAACGGAAGCACCGTACTTCCCTGGATGTATATTCTTCCTCTCGTGCTGGTACACGCGGAAAGAGCTACCAAGTCGTATCGCCACTTTCTACTCTGGATACACTTTATCATCGGCTTTTGGTGGATTGATCGCAGCGGGTATCGTCGATGGCATGGAAGGTCTTGGTGGCTACCCATCTTGGCGCTGGATTTTCATTCTAGAGGGCGCTCTGACGATCGTTATGGCCTTTGCTGGATACGCACTTCTTCCCAACTACCCATCGAATACCTCGTTCCTATCAGCTGAAGAGACCGCTATGGCACAGTGGCGACTTGACCGCGAGAACGACGGTGTGGCAGATGAAGTGAACGAATCGGTCTTCGTCGGACTGAAACAGGCTTTCTCTGATCCGAAAGTGGTACGTATCTCTCTTATTTCATCATTGCGTGTCGAAGAATCGAAACCCGTAACTCAGTACGCGTTGCTAACGTCGAATGCCACCTCTAGCCATTACTCG